GTGCGGTGATACAATCATGGCTCACTGTAATCTCCACTCCTGGGCTCAAGCAACCACCCTCCTACCTCAGCCTCCTAAGCAGCTGGGACTATAGGTATGTGCCACCATGCCCAGATGATTTTTTTATTCTCTGTAGACACAAGGTCTTGCTATGTTGCCAGGCCGGTCTTGAACTCCTGGCCTCAAGCAATCCTCCCACCTCAGCCTCCTAAAGTGTTGGGATTACTGGCGTGAGCCACCACAACAGGCCAGTACTTCATTGTTTTTACTGCTGAATGACACCTCATTGTATGCATATACCATATTTTATTTATCCATCCATTAGCTGATTGACATTTGGGTTGTTTCCCAGTTTGCGGCTACTATGAATAATACTCTATGAATATTCATGTATATGTATTTGTGTGGACATGTTTTCTTTTTTTTTTTTTTTTTTGAGACAGAGTCTCACTCTGTTGCCCAGTCTGTAGCCCAGGTTGGAGTGCAGTGGCACGATCTTGGCTTACTGCAACATCTAGCCCCCATGTTCAGGCAATTCTCCTGACTCAGCCTCCTGAGTAGCTGGGACTGCAGGAGGCTCAAACCAACTCGCCTCATTCTCCCAAAGTGCTGGGATTACAGGCATGAACCAACACACCCAACCTGGACATATGTTTCCTTTCTTTATCTTTTTTTTGAGATGGAGTCTTGCCCTGTCACCTAGGACGGAGTGCAATGGTGCGATCTCAGCTCATTGCAACCTTCGCCTCCCAGGTTCAAGTGATTCTTCTGCCTTAACCTCCTGAGTAGCTGGGATTACAGGCATGCACCACCACACCCAGCTAATTTTTTGTATCTTTAGTGGAGATAGGTTTTTTACCATGTTGGCCAGGCTGGTCTCAAACTCCTGACCTCATGATCCACCCGCCTCAGCCTCCCAAGATGCTGTGATTACAGGCATGAGCCACCGCACCCAGCCAATATGTTTTCACTTCTCTTGGGTATATATCTATTTAGGAGTGGAACTGCAGAGTCATATGAAAAGTCTACATTTAAACTTTTGAGGACCTGTCAGGCTTTTCCAAGCAGCTGCACCATATGATCCCCTTGTGACCGATGGGTGACTGAGGCCCAGAGAGGGAAACTGTCTTCTGTAAGGCAACACAGTGAGTATGAGAAAGCAGGAGCTAAAAATGGACATGGGTTCAATGCTGTGCCTTCTCCTCCGACGGCACTACCATCTCACTCTCACTCCAGTTCTCTCCATACCCACTTCTGCCCCTCCATCCCATTCCTTGACCAGCAGCAAATCCCTTCACACCAGTCCCTGCAAAGGCTTCCTGCTGCCACCATCGGGATGAAGTTCCGCCTCTGAGGGATGATTTAGAAGCTCCTCTACCATCTGGTCCTAGTGCTGCCTCCTGACATTTTTGCAGCTTTAGTGAGCTATAATTCACACCCCACACCATTTACCCGTTTTAAGTGTACAATCCAAATCAGTGTCTTTTCATATTCTATACTGCAGGGTCATGCCAGCTCTTCAGGTCCATGAAAACACCAGTGCCTTTGCTTCTGGGACTTTGCACACACTGTTGCTTCTGTTTGGAACAGTCTGTATATTTTTTTCTGGCAAATTCGTCATGATCCTTCACATCTTAGTTGAGATGCTTCTGCTGGAAAGCCTTCCCTGATTGGATGACCTGCAGGATGTTCCCACAGACTCCTAGGATCGTCCCTGTCACAGCATGTTCTACAGCAGTCTGAGTTTTTAAGGTCTGTGACTACACCTTATTCATGTCCAGTGCCTGGCAACACTCATTCACTATTGGTTGAATGAACAGAAAGACCTGAAAATATCTAGCATGGCCCTTAGCACACTGTAGAAATCCTGCAAATGTCTGCAGACTGCAATTACCTCCAAGGACAGGGACAGCACCTCCTGTTGGGAACATTCCAGATGGTTTGGGTGATTAAAGGTAAGATTTTTTTTTTTTTCGTCTGGTACCCATGCCACTTCTGGGAACAGCATCCCAGTTTTCCTTTGGGGAATCACTTCTATTCTACCTTCCATTCTTGCAGTTTATTTATGAGAAGCGATGCAGTTCCTGGAATCTGTACGTGACCCAAGGCAGATTAGTTAGATGCAATCCTAACTTATGCTAGATTATTTTTAAAGGGGTGCTTTATTTTTACTAGAATTACTAAGCTTGTGCCTCTCTCTAGAAGAAAACTAACTGCCTGAGAAAAAAGCAGACTTGAGAACTCAACAACTGAGTCCTGATATCAGCTGGATCCAGCTGTGCCTGAAGCCAACCACTGGACATTTTAGTTATTGAGTCAATTTTGATTCCTTTTTAATTGCTTGAGTTCAGCTTGTCACCTGCAACTGCAATATTCCTAATCCAGTTAGTAACCCACTTTCACATACACACATACCCATCACACACCTTACAGACCAAACAGAGGAATCAAGCCAACTCTTGTCCCTAAGTGCAGGTTTACCTACTCACCTCAAATCTAAGTTGTATTTTTCTGAGTTGTATTGCGTAGTTAACTGTGAGTATTTAGCTTTCCTTGTATGGTACTTTCTATAGCAAGCTTGTGGGCTGCATGTGGCCCAGGACAGCTTGGTATGCAGCCCAAAACAAATTTATAAACCTAAAACACTGCTTTTTTGTTTTTTTAGTTCATCAGCTGTAGTGTATTTTATGTATGGCCCAAGACAATTCTCCTTCCGATGTGGCCCAGGGAAGCCAAAGGATTGGGCACTGTATACCATAATCAGCAAGTGGACATTTGCAGTGTCCTAAATGGTATCAGGTGGTAAATCCAGGTGGCTAGAAGAGATGCAATTCTCATTTATACCCTGGCCCAAATTGAACTCCAAGAACACACACAATAAGCACTGCTCCCTAAACCTGTGCGCTGGTTCTGCAAAGAGCCTACCAAAACAAACTTGGCTTTTCCTTTTGACTTGATGATGCCAAGGACAAGTCCGTGCATTTACTACCAGTACAATAAGACAGGAAAGTCTCAAACACTTTTTTTTTCAGATAGAGTTTCACTCTTGTTGCCCAGGCTGGAGTGCAGAGGTACGATCTCAGCTCACTGCAACCTCTGCCTCCCAGGTTCAAGTGATTCTCCGGCCTTAGCCTTCTGAGTAGCTGGGACTACAGGTGTGCACCATCACACCCAGCTAATTTTTGTATATTTAGTAGAGACAGAGTTTTACCATGTTGGCCAGGCTGGTCACACACATTTTAACTACCCACCTTTGCTACAAGGAAAAAAGGCCCAAACCCTGTGTGGGTGAAGAGGCAGACTCAAATGCTCCCAATGCACAGGAATGAGGGGCCTCCCACTCAATCACCAATTACCATTTGCATACTACCCAACCTGGACCTTTCCAGGGCATACTGAACCACTTCACTCCCTAGTTCCTTGGGGTGCAATGAATTGCAGACAGTTTAATAATCCATGGGCTTTTGCTGATTCTGTTTTCTCTGCTTGGAATGCCCTTCTACACTGAGGAAGTCTTTCAAGGCCCAGGGCAAAGGTTAGCTCCCCTGTGAATCCTTGTTCCTTTAATATCTGGCATAAGCAGCCATTTTAACTATCTTTAAAGGTCAAGGTTTCTTAACATGGGTCCGCAGGTCATTATGAATAAGCTTTACAGGGAAATGTCTGTGTCTGTGCCCGTGTATGTTACTCTAGAGGGCAGGGTCAGAAATTCCAGATTCTCAGATTCTGTGACCTCAAAAAAAGGTCTTTTGGCCAGGCACAGTGGCTCATGCCTGTAATCCCAGCACTTTGGGGGCTGAGGCAGGAGGATGGCTTGAGCTCACAAGTTCAAGACCAGTCTGGGCAATATAGCTAGGTACTGTCTCAAAAAAAATAATAAAAAATTTTAAAAACCTCTCTCTTATGTGTGTCTCTCTCTTGTGAGTTGAGGGCAAGGTTCACATCTCTGTCATCTTACACTCTCCGGCACTGGTCCAAGATAGTCAAAACTGTTGGCAGAAGGCTGTTAGTGACTTACAGAGGCAACACTTTCACAGGCAAACAGAAAACAGGATGGTTTAATTTGTGGAGTCAAGAGTTGTTTGTTCTTAGTTACCGCACTCAACATGCAAATTATATTCACCTCGGTACAGAAATGGCACCCTGTCACTTCCCTGGGATCTTTAATCCAGACAGAATTATTCTTGGGCACCCTTATCTATGTTTCTACCAACAACTACTGTCTTTCCCTTCTTACAGCAATATGTAAATTCTATTTTGTTCCAAGTAACTGGGAAATGAGGTCTTTCATCTAAAGGAGTAGCCATTTCCAGTATAGCACCACTGATCTGTCAATGGATTTGATAGATTTGATATACTGACATCCAGATCAAGATTTTCCATTATTTATAACCTGTCTCTGATGATCCCAAAGGCACTTTAGAATCTGGCAGTGCCTCAGGGTCACTGATTTTCACTGGACAGAATTAAGGGATATAGAAGGTCTGCTGAATCTGTCCCGGCTGTGGGTATTCACTCTGAAAAGGGTTTATTTGAATACGGTTTTGACATATTTGCTCTCTATGTCTATGTAGGCTCAAAATGAACAATATAAGGAGATTCATTTTGTTCATCCATAGTTTCTAAACCTTTGGTAGTGGAAATGGTTGACTTGTGTAAAGAAAGTTAACAATACTAACAAAACTAATGGTAAAACAGAGGGTGTTTGGATCCCAAGAAAACAGGAGTTTCCTGTGGCTAGATGTCCAGCTGACTGCACATAATAATTAGTTATAATTAACAATGTTTCCTCCAAAGATTGGATTTCTGCTAAGATTTTATATATTATCAGTAGCTTGAGGTTTCCCCCTTTCTCTGCGTTTCATTACTAGAGTTACCAGAAGGAACATTTAAAACATTTTTAAAATAACAAGTTGCCCACCATACTACTCCTATTTCCTCTAGTTTCAAACATAAAGGGGAACACAGCCCAGACAAGAACAAGCCTTGCTGCACGCCCGCCAGCTCCTGCATCCTCCTTTTTATTCTGAGAGGCTCCAGCTTCAAACAAAGTTACGAGGTTAAGTGCAACTCCAAGTTCCTGACACAGCTAATCCCTGCTCGGTCTTCAAAAAATAGAGGTCTGTAATTCCTTTTTGAACATGCCTTCAAAGTGGAGGTCTTTGGCCATAAGCTCTTCTTCGACATCATCGAGTGCCCACTGGTGATCTGTCAGCTCCAAAGCTTCCCACTCTGTCTGTAATGGAAGAGAACACCCAGGCAGGCAAACAGGGAATTGTTACTGAAAGCTGTAGCTAACCTTTAGTGACCACTTACTCTGGGCCAGAAGCTGGAGTGAGCTATCTTCATGTATAAGCTCATTCAATCTTACAAGGGAAATGCTGCTATCCTCATCCTCTCCTCCCCCCTCAATTTACAGATCAGGAGACCAAGGCTAAGAGGTCAAATAATTTGTTCAAGATCACTGGCACTAGGAACTAATGGAGCTGAGATTTAAATTTTGGTCTGACTGCAAAGTCCCTCCATCAGCTCACATTCACTAAGCACCTTTGTGCCCCACAGTACTCTTGAGGCATGTACAATAGACAAATTAATGCTTTCTGAGTCTCAGCTCTTTCATCAAGGGACTTGCCATCTGATTTAAATTGTGCATGCTTTGCTTTGACATATGACCTGGGAGATCTTCAGTAGGTCTAAGAATGCTTCCTCTAACCTTATGTCCAGATACACAATGGCACTTCATTACAGTTTGTGGGAATCCAGTCATTTCTAATCATGTAAATAAATACTTTGATGGTGTGAACTAAAAAACTATTTTGGCATATAATAATTTGCATGTAAACTAGTAAAATGTTGAACAGAAATAAATTTGCAGAATTTTCCAAGAAATTACATTTCACAAATATTCTATTAATCTGACTACTTTGCCTTAAATTAGTGAGTGTCTGAAGAATGCTTTATGAGTCGGGTGCAGTCGCATGTATTTACAGTCGCAGCTACTCTGGAGGCTGAGGCTAAGGATAGCTTGAGCCCAGGAGTTTCAGACTGGCCTGGACAACCTATCATTTGACCAGCCTAGAGATGGTAAGACTTCATTTTTAGAAAAAAAAATTGTTTTAAAAAGCTTGTGAGGTGTGGTACCTCACGCCTGTAATCCTAGCACTTTGGGAGGCCGAGGCAGGAAGATCACCTGAGGATGGGAGTTCAAGACCAGCCTGGGCAACATAGCAAGATCCCATCTCTACACAATTAAAAAAAAAAATTAGTTGGGTGTGGTGGTGCACGCCTGTAGTACTGGCTCCTCGTGCACCAGTACTGAGGCTGAGGTGGGAGGAATGCTTAAGTCCAGGAGTTCAAGGCTGCAGTGAACTAGGATTGTACCACTGCACTCTAGCCTGGGGGACATAGTGAGACCCTCTCTAAATAAATAAAGCTTATTTAACGTGAAATACAAATGTTAGCTCATGAGTGGGTTTTTGAGATATAATTTCCATGTCATAAAATTTACCCCTTCAATGTGTACAATTTAGTGATTTTTAGTATATTCATATGTGCAACCACCACCACTATCTAATTCCAGAACACTTTATCATAACAAAAAGAAATCACATACCAAATAGTAGACGGTTCCCATTATTCACCTTCCACAACCTCTAGCAACTACAACTTTATCTTTCGTGTCTTTTTCTCACTTATTCTGGGTGTATCTGGCCTTTTGTTACGTTCTTTCACTTAGCGATTTTCAAGCTTCTTCCCTGTTTAACATGATCCAGCACTCTACTCTTACTTATAGCTGAATAACACTCCATTGTATATATTCCACTGTACATACAACATACATTATATTCCAAAATATTCCATTGTTTATCCATTCATCAGATGATGGACATTTGGGTTATATCTACTTTTTGATTATTATGAATCATGCTCTGAGCATTCTCACATAAGTTTCTGTGTGGACATATGTTTTCAGTTTTCTTGAGTATTTACCTAAGAGTGAAATTGCTGGGTCATATAGTAATTATGTTTTAACTGTTTGAGGAATGGGGGAAAAAACAGTTTTCCAAAGTGGCTGCACCATCATCAACAATAGGGTTCCAATTTCTCCACATTCTTACCAACACTGATTATTGTCCATCTTTTTTTATTATAACCACCTGAGTGAGCACGAAGTGGCATCTCACTGTTTTTTAATTGTTTATTTTTTCAGACAGGGTCTCATTGTTGTCCAGGGTAAAGTGCAGTGGCACCATCTCTGCCCACTGCAACCTCTGCCTCCCGGGTTCAAGTGATTCTCATGCCTCAGCCACCCAAGTAGCTGGGATTACAGGCGTGCACAACCACACCTAGCTAATTTTTGTATTTTTAGTAGAGATGGCATTTCACCATGTTGGCCAGGCTGGTCTCAAACTTCTGACCTCAAATGACCTGCCTGTCTTGGCCTCCCAAAGTGCTGAGATTACAGCTGTAAGCCACTGCATTCAGTCAAATTTTAATTTTTTCATTGAGGTAAAATATATGTAACATAACATATGCTACTTTTAACCATTTTAGATATATAATTCAGTGGAATTAATGACATTTACAATGTATACCCATGTCTACTATCATTTCCAAAGTTTTATATCCCCTTAAACAGAAAATGCACATAGTAAGAAATAACTCCCCACTGCCCCCCAACCTTTCCTCAGTAACCTCTAACCTACTTGTCTCTGTGAATTTTTCTATTCCAAATATTTTATATAAGTAATATCATGCAATATTCGGGATTTGGGTCTTTGACCCATTTAATTTCTTTTTTCTTTTTAAGACAGGGTCTCACTCTGTTACCCAAGCTGGAATGCAGTAGCACAATCATACCTCACTGAAGCCTCGAACTCCTCAGCCCAAGGGGTCCTCCCATCTATAGGCATGCACCATCACATTTGGCTAATTTGAACCGAATTTTTTTTGTTTTCTTCAGCACTACGCATGCCTGTTGAACCATTTGGACTTAATTTTTATACGTGGTGTAAAACAGATGCCCAGATTCATTCTTTTGCACATAGATATCCTTTTCCCAGCACTATATGCTGAATAGAGACTACTCTTTCCCCACTGAATAATGTTGGTACCCTCTTTGAAAATCAATTGTTCATAAATGGACGGGTTTATTTCTGAACTCTCCACTTTATTCAATTGATCTATATCTCTCCTTATGCCAGTTTTTATTACTGTGCAGTTTTGATTACTATTACAAAGCTATAGGTTTTAAAACCAGGACATGTAAGTTCTCCAATTTTTCCAACATTTTTGCCTATTTTGATTCCCTTGAATTTCCATATGAACTTCAGGAGCAGATTGTCAATTTCTGCAAGAAAGGGCATGTAAGACTTTGATAGGGATTGTGTTCAATCTGTGGATAAAATTTGGAGAGTATTGCCATCTTAACAATATTAAGTCTTTCAATCTATGAACATGGATGTCTTTCCATTTATTTAAGTCTTTAATTTCTTTCAGCAATCTTTCAGTTAAAATCTAACAAAAGGCATTTCTTTTGTTAAATTTGTTTCTAAGTATTTTATTTCTTTTGATACTATTATAAATAAAATTGTTTTACTTTCATTTCCAAGTCTTCATAACCAGTGTATAGAAACACAATTGATTTTTGTATGTTAAACTTATTTATTAGCTCTGTTAGTTTTCTTGTGGATTATTTAGGATGATCTATATACAAGGCCATGTCATTTGTAAACAAAGATAGGTTTACTTCCTTTCTAATCTGAATGGCTCTCTTTTTCTTGCTTAACTGCCCTGGCTAGTACATCCTGGACAATGTTGAATAGAAGTGGCAAGAAGAGACATCCTTATCTTGTTCTTGATCTTAGAGAAGGAGCTTTCAGTCTTTCACCATTGATTGGGTCTGTCATAGATGCCCTTTACCGGGCTCAGGAACTTCTCTTCTTTCTTTATTTATTTTTTTTGAGATGGAGTCCAGGCTGGAGTGCAGCGGCACAATCTTAGCTCACTGCAGCCTCCACCTTCCAGGTTCCAGTGATTGTCCTGCCTCAGCCTCCTGGGTAGCTGGGATTATAGGCACGTGCCACCCTGCCTGGCTCATTTTTGTAGTTTTCTTTTTTTTTGAAACGGAGTTCACTCTTGTTGCCCAGGGTGGAGTGCAATGTTGCAATCTCGGCTCACTGCAACCTCCACCTCCTGGGTTCAAGTAATTCTCCTGCCTCAGCCTCCCGAGTAACTGGGATTACAGGGCCCACCACCATGCCCGGCTAATTTTTTTGTATTTTTAGTAGAGACAGGGTTTCACCATGTTGGCCAGGCTGGTCTCGAACTCCTGACCTCAGTTGATCCACCCACCCACCTCAGTCTCTCAAAGTGCTGTGATTACAAGCACGAGCCACCATGCCTGACCTACTTTTGTATTAATTGAGACAGGGTTTCACCATGTTGGCCAGGCTGGTCTCAAACTCCTGACCTCAGGTGATCCACCCACCTCGGCCTCCCAAAACGCGGGGATTACAGGCATGAGTCACTGAGCCTGGCCGGAACTTCCCTTCTATTTCTAGTTTTTATCATGAAACAAAGTGATTTTGTTCTACAAAAATCATACTGGATTTTGCAAATTCTAGAACCTCTTTGTGAAAAGGCTCTTAGTATTTATTTTTTTAATGCAATTTATATCTGATGCCTGTGGGGTTCAAAAAAGGTTCAAAATATTCTAAATGTTTACCTGGCACCTCCGACTGGATTATTTTACAGCATCATTGATAGTGTGGATTAAATTTCGGTGAGCATTTACAAACCAGTAAAAGTACTAAGAATCTCCAATTTACTTAACAGATGATTCTGTCTCAGGAAAAAGGGATGTGTAAAGTATGTTTTTGCTAAGTTTAGATTAAAACGCTGGAACCACACAACACTCCCTGCAAGGAACCTGTTTTTAAAATAACTCTTGGTAACACCTTTCTGAGCATCACTGTGGCTTTGGAAGGTGAATGGAGTATATATATACCTTGAAAGCTTTGTTTGTGTCTGCGGGCATGGCCATGGCTGCTCCCGTCATCTGCTCCTGCATCATTCGTGATTGGTCAGCGGCTGCAGCATAAGACACACCTACATGAGTGCCAGGACTCAGCAAGCACCCCAGCACCCAAGGGGAAAAATGGGTTTCACAGAGGTTACAGAACTGGATGACAGCCTCACTGACTGGCTCTGTCACCCATTGGCTATGACTCTGGGAAAGTCACTTTGTGCCTCCTGAAAAATGGGGACGGTAACAGAAGAGAGATCACTAAAGGAAGCTCTAAACTTTATTTCAAATTTCTACAGTAACAGCCACCTGTTATTGAGCAACTACTGTATGCCAAGTACTTCACTAAGTGCTTTGCATATTCTACCTCATCCACTAACAACCCTGAAGGTTAACTAATAAAGTCCTTATTTACAGACAAGCAAATACAGAATTCAAAGTTAAGTAACTTGTTAGGCAACTTGTCTGAGGTCCCAGCCAGTAAATAAGAGAGCTGGGATTAGTACTGGCAAGGGCTCTAGTCAATGAACTGACTGATCAAACCATGTTTTTTTTAAGGTTTAGGTTCATAGGCTTACACTGCTGGTGCTGGATCCCTCATATGATGGCATCATACTCTGGGAAATCAAATACTGTCCCAGTCATTGCCAGAGAAAATTAAGATCTTCAGTTTGACCCCTGGAATTTTTTAGACTCTTTCAGAATACCTCAGAAACTAAAGAAAGGAGGCATTTTATTTGACTATGCTAACAAACAGCATAACCTACAAGATTTTTCTGCCTCTAACATGAATGCTTCATCTATGGAAGTATTTGCTTAGTAAACCTGACATGCTTCTTACCATTATCTTGGCCCAGAATCAGAGAGTAAATGCTCCGAAGCCCAAATACATTGAGGAAGTACCAGGATGCAGAACTCACCCTGGCAAAGCAAAAGCAAAATGGTGTGGTTAGTTTTATCAGAAAGTAATTCAGTTCCCTCTTCCCTATCACCCAAAGTTGTTCAGTGTTTGTAAAGAAGCCACCTTGAATGGGCTATATTCACCCAAAGCACAATCACAGAAGAAATACAAGTTGTTAAAGCAGTCTCACCAATACAGAACTATACTTTTAAAAATCCAGAGAGGATTCCCATTCTGAATGCGATTCCCTAGAGGAAATCACAAGTGTTGGTGTGTTCAATACTTTTTTTTTTTTTTAAGACAGAGTCTCGCTCTGTCACCCAGGCTGGAGTGCAGCGGCACAATCTTGGCTTACTGCAACCTCTGCCATCGGGTTCAAGAGATTCTCCTGTCTCAGCCTCCCGAGTAGCTGGGATGACAGGCACATACTACCATGAGTGGCTAATTTTTGTATTTTTAGTAGAGATGGGGTCTCACCATGTTGGCCAGGCTGGTCTCGAACTCCTTACCTCAAGTTATCCGCCCACCTCAGCCTCCTAAAGTGTTGGGATTACAGGCGTGACCCACCAGGTGTGTTCCATACTTATAAGAAAGGATAAGAGGATTTTCAGAAAATATAGTACTGAGGACTATAGCTACTGGGAGAGCCATTCCAAGTTTTGAACTATATCACCGAGGCTTTCTTTAGCTTAGGTTTCCTACTCTACCTCCATAAAATAAATATGCTTGCATATATTAAAAACAAAAATGAGTATGGAAAATGATAGATAAATGTCAATTCCTACATAGGCTTCATAGGTTGCTATGAGGTTAAAATATGGAAAGCACCAAGCACAATGACTAGAACTAATGAAAACTATTAACATTATTATGAGTAGTAATGTACTTTGAAAAAAATAATAATAAAAGCTTTCACTCCCATGAGCTCCAGGGTATTACTAAAAATGATTGTCTGGCCAGAATTCCTGGCTTAAACTTTTAACTTTCTGGGGGTTGATACACTGACCCCGGCATTCTTAAACCCCCAGCTGTGACAGAAAAGAGGTGACACATTCTTTCCTTTTGCTACATTCATGTAAAAGTTGCCATAAACCACCCATGGCATTTTGAGTGGAGTTTCAATGAAAAGAAGAAACTTTGGTCGGGTACGGTGGCTCATGCCTGTAATCCCAGCACTTTGGGAGGCCGAGACAGGTGGATCACTTGAGGTCAGTAGTTCGAGACCTGCCTGGCCAACATGGTGAAATCCTGTCTCCATGAAAAATACAAAAATTAGCTGGGTATGGTGGTCCACGCCTGTAATCCCAGGTACTCGGGAGGCTGAGACAGGAGAATTGCTTGAACCCAGGAGGCGGAGGTTGCAGTGATATCATGCCACTGCACTCCAGACTGGGCGACAGAGTAAGACTCTTGTCTCAAAAAAAAAAAAAAAAAAAAAAAAAAACCTTTAAAAACCAATTCCAATGAAGTATGCAGATTAGAAATCCTCATCTTTAAGGGACACTGGCTTTAGATTTTGGTTTGTGTGATTTTGGTTTTTGTTTTTTTGAGACACGGTCTTGCTCTGTTGCCCAGGCTGGTCTCAAACTCCTGGGCTCAAGCGTTCCTCCCGCCTTGGCCTCCCAAAGTGTGGTTTGTGTTTTTATTAAACTAGAGAAAGTTCTTACCAGGATGCATCTAATGTGAGCAGTTCAATTCCTTGCTGTAACATAGGCTTAAAACGGAGGGTCAGTGGAAACGGGACCTTGGCTGCAGAGAAGAAAATGTTCACAACCACTCTAAGTTGTTTTATTTTAGAATAAGTGTGAATCTTTCCCTGAGGAGGTGAGAATTCTGTGCCACATAGCTTTTGGAAAACAATTTCCACAAGGAAATCTGTGGCAATTTCTGAAGAAAAGACAGTCAAAATGCCACTCTGCTCTAGTTTCCCTGAATAATACCTGCTTCTAGCTTACTGAGGAAGCAGGGACTCAAACTGAGCTGTGTCCTGAAATTTGGAAAAAAACCTGCACTGATCTATTAAGCCCTAAGTGGAACATATATACATAGAACTATGTTACTAAGAAACCAAAGTGATTAAAATCAAATCAACTTATAAACAAATAGAAAACTCACCCTAACACCTAGCAAATGAAGTCAAACAAAATAGAAATAGGCTTCCCTTTATCCTGTTCAACTAGAATACCATATTAGTTTTGGAAGTAAGCTAGAAAGTCACTTGCTTGAATCTAATCTAGCTAAAAAGCATCCAAATCATGAACTTAGGATCATTTTTGGGCAAAAGCCATAAAAATAATCACATATTAAATTTTTTGTTCAAAGAGTATTATCAGTTTCCACAAGAAAACATAGGACCTGTGATATTAGCGTCTCAGTAGCACTTGAATTTCTCTGAGTAACATGAAGTCTGCTGGGTCTGTAACTTACTTGTGACAAAGCCTGAGAATGTCATGTTGATCCATCCACCAATAAGAATCATAGGAAGGACATTTGTTACATTCCCTTTCATCATGTCTGTCAGCATAGTAGGATCTAAGACAAAAGCACAAACAAGAAACCACTGAGTTACCTCTGTTTCAGGGACTTTCTCCTGATTATCTATAAATTTTTAATGTACTTGATAATTAAGTTTATTGTTTAAAAAAAATTCAAATGACATAAAAACATATGATGTACAGTTCTTCTAAGCCCACTCCCTAAACACTTAAGTGTCTATGTCCTTCCATCTTTCTCTCTATACATACACACTATAAATTTTATGTATATATACATACATACAAAAAAGAGATACTATGTTTATTATTATTAATGTATTTGTGGATGATATTTCCACAGTGGTATAACAGCTCCCTCTCAATATTTTCTGGTATAATAGCTCCCTCTCAATATTTTCTTTCTTTTTTGAGACAGCCTCACTCTATCGCCCAGGCTGGAGTGCAGTGGCACGATCTCAGCTCACTGCAACCTCTGCCTCTCAGGTTCAAGTGATTCTCATGCCTCAGCCTCCGAAGTAGCTAGGCTTATGGGCAAACGCCACCATGCCCAGCTAATTTTTGTATTTTTAGCAGAGATGGCATTTCACCAGGAGGCTGGTCTCAAACTCCTGACTGACCTCACGTGAGCTGCCCGCCTCGGCCTCCCAAAGTGCTGGGATTACAGGCATGAGCCACTGCACCCAGCCTCAATATTTTCAATGTCTGCATAGTATTCCACTGTGTGGTCACACCAATCACTTTCGAGTAGACCTATAGATTGTTTCCATTGCTTTTTTTTTTTTTTTTTTGAGACGAAGTCTTGCTCTGCCCCCCAGGCTAGAGTGCAGTGGCACAGTCTCAGCTCACTGCAACCTTTGCCTCCTGGGTTCAAGCAATTCTCCTGCCTCAGCCTCCCAAGTAGCTATGATTACAGGAACCCACTACCATGCCCAGCTAATTTTTGTATTTTTAGTAGAGACAGGGTTTCACCATCTTGGCCAGGCTGGTCTCGAACTCCTGACCTCATGATCCACCTGCCTCGGCTTCCCAAAGTGCTGGGATTACAGGCGTGAGCCACCACACCTAGCCGTTTCCATTGTTTTTGCCAATAAATGATAAATGATGCTGCCGACAACCATCTTGCACATACATCTGCATGTTTATGTGTTTCTGTAAGAGAACTTCTTAGAATTTCTAGGTCTAAGGATTTGTACATTTAAAATTGATAGATATTGTCAGACTGTCAGCAAGGCTCCACCTCTTGCCACTCCCGCCAATGGTGAGGGGGCCTAACTTCCGTGACCTTGACAATAGTGGATCCTGTCCATCTTTTCAATCTTTGACAGCTTAATGGTCTAAAAAAAAAAGAGTATCTTGTTTTAATTGATATTCCATGGATTATTAGTGACATCAAGTAACTTTTCATATATTTAATGGTCTTTTGTTTCTTGTAAATTTTCTTAAAAATTTGTTTAAAAAATTAACTCCATAAAACCTAGTCACTCTTTAAAAAATAATTAGTTACAGTATCTTCTGTATGGGTTTAAAATAGCTGGCCATCTTACCTAAAGAATTGAGTAGTACTAAAATGAGAGGAGAGTCAACAAAGAACAACAAATTACTTTGTTTTACTTTTAACATGCTGTATTTTTCACATGACTGGGATCAGTGAAGCAGAAAATGTTAGAGCCAACACTGTAGGGTAGACCAAACAATCACATCTAACAACAAAATGGCAGGTCTGGGAAGCAGCACACTCTTCCTCATTCAGGCAGAAGCTGGGCAGCCATCTGTAGGCAAAGGGATCCAGACACTGGGTGAGAGCCACGCTAGAATGCTTTTCCAACTATGCTGCCCAGAACCCTGGGTCCTGAGAACAGCAATGAGGAGAGACCCAGGGACAATGGCTCTGGACCCCCCGGCTCCATCAGCTGAGAATTATTTTTTTTTTAAATCCACTTTATACACTGGGGGTCTCAAAAAATCTAACTGAAAAAGAGAATTCCATTTCTATAGATCCCTATATTAGATGATTTCTAAGATCTAAGATTACTATCTTCTGCAATTTAACATTTAAATGACACCCTGCATGTCCTCTCCCTGTCACCCCACCCCACTCAATGACCCATGTTTAAAAATCTTCCTTAAAGATGAGTGAAGGCAAACATACCAGTCATAGGAGAAGGTGGCACTACCTTCCTTTTAGTTTTTTTGAAAAATCCATCCTCTGGGTTGTTGAAATAATATTTTCGTGTCAAGAAAGACTAGTAGGAAAAAAAAAAAGGCGTTTTAAGTCTAAGAACTATGACACAGCAAACTGTCAAATTATTCCCCAGGGGCTTAGTCAGAAAGCCTTTAGGATATGCTGTTCTGCTCAGAGCTGTCAGCCTACTTGGCAGGCGACCTGACACTTTAGCTGACTCACATTTAAAAACAATTTCCTAAGAAGGGTGAGGTCATCATGACAACAAACACTACCAGGTCACAGCTTAATTACTAAGTTGCCAACCTTCAGCTTTCCCCAAAGGGCCCCTTATAAAACATTCAGATATCTACTGCCCAACAGTGAATCATGGAGCTTTTTAATAAAAGACAAATGAGTACCTGTTTGGGAATGTATTTTCCATTTTCCCTGAGGACTCTGCTTCGAATTAGGACTTGACTGAAAAATACAACCAACACAATGAGATTTTTAAAAGTGAAACACTAGAAGAAAACGGGAGAATAAAGTAGAAGACCTATTTAAACACAAGAGAGGGCCTATTTGGCAACAGCTCGGTGTGGAAACTTTCCAAAATACAAGTGTCTTTAAAGCCAATGTAAACATATTTAACCTAACAATTAGGCTTTCAGAAAAGTATTTTTCAGAAGTGACTATGTCTCTGAACAAATAAATATTTCAGAGGAAGGTATATTTGGAACATTATATTCAGCTTTTTCTTATTTCATAATAAGCTAGGAAGACACTTTCTCTGAGTGAAAAGAATAGCAGTTGGACACTGCTCAGAAGATCTGGGGTCAGAAGAAATGAAGAAGAGCAAGGATAAAAGAAGGAATTTCTTACTACCTACGTAGAAATGAGAACAGGCCTTGAGAGGGTTGCTATCTGATGGACAAATAGAAATTCTACCCAGGATTCAGACTATTAGAAAGCTCTCAGTAAACATTAATTGAATAAATAAATGAAATTACTAGGTGATATTAAATCAACTATTAGAACCATAGTTCATCATTAAATATCGTGTTCATCATTAAATATCGTGTTAGGCTGGGTGCGGTGGCTCATGCCTGTAATCCCAGCACTTTGGAAAGCGAAGGCAGGTGGATCACTTAAGCCCAGGAGTCTGAGACCAGCCTGGGCAACACAGCAGGACCCTGTTTCTCCAAAAAAAAAAAATATATACAAATTTTAGTCGGGCTGATGGCACATGCCTGTAGTCACAGCTACTCAGGAGACTGAGGTAGAAGGATCACCTGAGCCTGGGAGGCAGAGGCTGCAATGAGCTGAGATTGTGCCACTGCATGCCAGCCTGGGCGACAGTTGAGACCCTGCCTCAGAAAAAAAAAAAAATTTAGTGTCATGCAACAAATGGGTGTTGCTAAGATACAAATGAAAAATAAAACAGAGATCAAAATATTAATTTTTCTAGGTACTCAGGTTCATTAGAGGAGGAAAGAAGGAAAAGGCCCTTAAATTAATGGAAATCCTTCTTGAAATGTGAAAAAAAATTATGGACAGAAATGAACATATAAAAACTGTGCTAGGCTTTCTCTTTCTACTCAATACAAATCACTTGTTCTAAGCAGTCAGTACCCCTGGGGTCTCCCTTGTCACACTATACATATTCTAGCTTCTCCACATGCTGGGAATGTTCCAGTGTGCTTTCTTTTACAAGTTCTACTCTATCATGCCTTACCACCTTCTTCAAGCCTCAGCATTTCCACAAAGCTTTTCCCAACGCCTGGAGCACTCATGGAATTCTCTCTGCTTCCTCCTCCTGAGCTCATTATGCTACCTGTATACAGTTCTCCACTTTATCTACAGGGCTACAGAGGTAACATGTAATACGTTCTCCTCCCTGGGTGCTAGTCTAAAGATATTCAAAGTGTGGTCAATGTACCAATGCTGGTCTGTGATAAGCACAGACATTGGGAGTAAGGATTTAGAGACTTTTATAATAATTTGACGTTGTCACAACATCCAAATATATGATCAAAATATTTTACAAAAGTATTAGCCTACAAGAGATTAGAAATTTAAAAAACCAAAAAACCCAAAACTGGTCCTTCACCATTGACAGTTGTAAGAAGCACTGGGTCTAGAGCAATGGGTAAAAACTTAAGCTCTGGAGTTGAACAGATGTGTTCAATCCATCTCTGCCACTTATCAGCCATGTGATCTTAGGCAAGTCACTTAAATTCCCTAAGCCTCTATTCATATTCTGCACAAGGATAAATTTATTCTTTCATTGAACAATATTTCTTGAACTTCAAAGCACCAGGTGACATGAAGAACAGTGATCAAAATACAAATCTCTTACAGAGGTTAAAGTCTAGTGAGGGAGAAAGACATTAACGAAATAACCAGAGGAATAAATGTGAAATTCAATTATCATGTCATAGGAAGAGAGATGGATGGTATTGCAGGAGTGCATAATGGGGAGGTGATGGAGTCTGGGAAGTCAAGGTCTGAGAGACAGGTTTGCTGAGGAGGTAGGATTAAGCTGGACTCTTCAGGATGAATGAGGATTACCTTGGCAAAGTGCTGGTGTAAACAAAATGGGCAAAAGCCTCATAGAAGTAAACACTCTGTCTCTGAGGACGTGAGGAAAGACCATATGACGGAGAGCTACAGAACATGTGGTGAAAACAAGACTTGAGAGGTGTGCAAGGCCAGACTATACAAAATCATGTGGTCCCACTGTATTTTTTTGAGATAGAGTCTCACTGTGTTGCCCAGGCTGGAGTGCAGTGACACAAACCCAGCTCACTGCAACCTCCGCCTCCTGAGTTCAAGTGATTCTCCTGCCTCAGCCTCCTGAGTAGTTGGGACTACAGGCATGCGCCATCATGCCCAGCTAATTTTTATATTTTTAGTAGAGATGGGGTTTCACCATGTTGGCCAGGCTGGTCTTGAATTCCTGACCTCAGATGATCTGTCTGCGTTAGCCTCCCAAAAGTGCTGGGATTATAGGTGTGAGCAACCACGCCCAGCTGGGTCCCACTGTATTTTTTTTTTTTTTTTGAGACAGTGTCTCGCTGTGTCACCTGGGCTGGAGTGCAATGGAGCAATCTCAGCTCACTGCAACCTCTGCCTCCCGGATTCAGGCAATTCTCCTGCCTCAGTCTCCCAAGTAGCTAGGACTACAGGTGCATGCCACCATGCCTGGCTAATTGCTTGTATTTTTAGTAGAGATGGGGTTTCACCATATTAGTCAGGATGGTCTCTATCTCCTGACCTTGTGATTTGCCTGCCTCGGCCTCCTGAAGTGCTGGAATTACAGGCATGAGCCACTGCACCCAGCCACGAATGGACATTTATATTCTATTTAGAAAAATATTTTACCCCGCTGGGAACAGTGGCTTATGCCTATAATCTCAGCATTTTGGAAGGCTGAGATGGAAAGATCACTTGAGCCCAGGAGTCTGAGACCAGCCTAGGCAACACAGGAGACCCTATCTTTGCAAAAAATTTAAACATTTGCTGGGCATGGTAGCATACGCTTATAGTCTCAGCTACTCAGGAGGCTGAGATGGGAGGATCACTTGAGCCTGACATGGTGAGGCTGCAGTAAGCCATGACTGTGCCACTGCACTCCAGCCTGGGTGACAGAGCAAGACTTGTCTCTTAAAAAAGAAAAAAAAAAGTTTACAACTAAAAAACACCTTTTTCTTGGATTTAGGCTGGTTCAGTGTGTACAGCATTTTACCCAAGTCAAATGATGACTTGATGAGGCCCAGCCACCCCCATGTCAGAGCTGGCATAATCCAAATACCACACTTTAGGGATGCAGCAATTATAACCAGAGATAAAGAGTGTTCTTCAGAGCAGTGGTTGGTTCTCCTTGGGGGTGGTACTTCCCTCTAGGGGGCCTGTGGAAATCTGTGGAAATTTTTGATTGTTAAAATGATGGAATTGAGGGGAAAAATCATGTAACTGTCAATTGTAAGACATAAGAAATGATTATCTCTCAGTCCTGGGGACAGTCACATAATACAAAGAATTTTCCCATGTCCCACATGACTTTTGAGTATCTCACCAAATTGTTTTGTTTTGTTTTGAGGAGTGTTGCTCTGTCAACCTGGCTGGAGTGCAGTGACACAGTCTTGGCTCACTGTAACCTCCACTTCCTGGGTTCAAGTGATTCTCCTGCCTCAGCTGCCCGAATAGCTGGGACTACAGGCGCACGCCACCATGCCTGGCTAATTTTTGTATCTTTAGTAGAGACAGGCTTTTGCCATGTTGGCCAGGCTTGTCTCGAACTCCTGACCTTAAGTGATCCGCCTTGGCCTCCCAAAGTGCTGGGATTACAGGTGTGAGCAACCACACCTAGACCAACAAATTGTTTTTAATTATCTGAGCCTCAAACCTAATAATTCCATTGTGGGAAGAGCACACGGTTCTTATATATATACTAAATTTGCAAGTATGCAAGTACTGAGTAGAAGGAAAATTGCACTTTGTTTTGCTCAGAACTTTACCAAGAGTGGTACACTATCTAGGAAAATCACTTTGAGGCAGAACTGCCTTCTGTAATCTTTGAGTAGTTAACACATCTGCTATCAGTCTACAGTGAGGCCTGTCCCAATTATGGTGATTTTATAGCTAGGTACAGACAACTGACTTCTGCATTACACCTTCTAGGACAGCTGTTCACAAGCATTTATAAAACATTAATATTTTATTACAAATTATTCTCCTTTTATTTCTTCTGATTGTTACAACTAGGGTGTTACATTCCTTTTTACTTATTTATTTACTTTTGAGACAGAGTCTCACTCTGTTGCCCAGGCTGGAGTGTAGAGGTGTAATCGTGGCTCACTGCAACCTCCACCTCCTGGCTTCATGTGATTCTCCTGCCTCAGTCTTCCAAGTAGCTGGGAATGCAGATGCACACCACCACCCCAGGTAATTTTTGTATTTTTAGTAGAGATGGGGTTTCACCATGTTGGCCCGGCTAGTCTCAAACTCCTGACCTCAAGTGGTCTGCCCGCCTCAGCCTCCCAAAATGCTGGGATTACAGGCATGTGCCACTGGGCCTGGCCATTATATTCCTTCTTAAGAACACATTTGTGGCCAGGCAAGATGGCTCACGCCGCATCTCTACTAAAATACAAAAATTAGTTGAGCATGGTGGTATGTGCTTGTAATCCCAGCTACTCAAGAGGCTGAGGCAGGAGAATTGCTTGAGCCCAAGAAGTGGAGGTTGCAGTCAGCCGAGATTGTGCCACTGCACTCTAGCCTGGGCAACAGAGCGAGAATCCGGTCTCAAAAAAAAAAAGTTCTTGTATATAGACTACACTAATTGTGAATTTCATTTTGGGGTTACAAAAGAAAGCTTTATATATTATATAATTCAGAACCATTGCTCTAATAGTGAACCAGGGGCAGAAAATTTTGGCAGAAAATCAATGACAGCAGGAATCATGGTTGAAGGGGATTTAACTTGAGAGATTGACCTGAGTTCAGGTACAGGCATAATATTTCCCTACTTTGGTTACTTTGGGAAGGCTACTTAACTTTTCCAGGCTTCCTTTTCTTCAACTGTAAAAATGGGTTTAGGAGTATCTACCTCAGTGCTAATGTAAGAACAAAATAAGAAAAATTTATAGGTGCCAATAAATGCTAAGTGTCTGAGTTTCCCCCACTTTGCATTTTTCTACAGCCTTTCTTTCTGTGCTAAATTGACTTCTTAAGGTTTGCTCCAGGGTGGGGTGCTGGCTCTGGTCAGTCCTGAAACTAATGCCACAGAAAGAGAATGTGATTGCTGTGGTATGGTGGAAAAAGCCCCAGACCAGAAGACTTGGTGTAAAGTTCTGAATGTCACCATGTGTGACCATGGAACTTGTTAAAGCCTCAGTTTCTATAAAATTAGACAACAATATGCATCTTGTAAAGTGGCTTTGAGTGTTAAATAAGTTAATGAATATAAGTGCTTAGCATAGTGCCTGATATAGAGTAAATGATTATCATTCTTCTTGGCATAATTGGGAAGAACTAACTGAAAATTTTACAGCAGTGCCTCCTAAACTTGAGTCATTTTCATGCCATGTTGGAATTTTTGTCTAGTGCTGTACCATTACATATTTAATACCTTTTATGTATCAACTTTTTTCCTCCCTATGTGTTCTTTATGGTTTTTTTTGAGACAGAGTTTCGCTCTTGTTGCCCAGGCTGGAGTGCAATAGGGCAATCTCGGCTCACTGCAACCTCCGCCTCCTGAGTTCAAGTGATTCTCCTGCCTCAGCCTCCTAAGTAGCTGGGATTACAGGCATGTGCCACCACGCCCAGCTAATTTTGTATTTTTAGTAGAGATGGGGTTTCTCTATGTTGGTCAGATTGGTCTCAAACTCCCGACCTCAGGTGATCTGCTGGCCTTGGCCTCCCAAAGTGCTGGGATTTACAGGTGTGAGTTGGCAGGTACCTACCTATATGTTTTCAATTTAAAGGAATCTTTAAATTACCAGCAAATGGAAACCCAATATTACTTGTCACAAAAAAGAAAGTAACTTAAAGTAAGTATAGTAGAAACAAAACAACATTATTACATTTTAACTACATACTGTTACCTGTGGAAAATTTTTAGCCTGAGGCTTACTCTCTTTATTAAAACGAGAAATTATTAAGTGAGAGGGAGGTGCTAAAGATATAGCAGCACTTACCTGAGATTGTTTCTGAAAGTAATGAGAACAACTGACTGAAAATTGTTTTCCTAAGAGACAAAGTCTCACTATGTTGCCCTGGCTGGTCTCCAACAATCCTCCTGCCTTGGCATCCCAAGTAGCTGGGAGAAACTATTATTTTAGTATGAAGGGGTACATGGCTAGATATGCACCTACAATCATCTCAGATTCCTGTCTCTGTATATAAATATTGCAATGAGAGGCTGGGCGTGGTGGCTCAGGCCTGTACTCCCAGCACTTTGGGAGGCCAAGACGGGTGGATCACCTGAGGTCAGGAGTTTGATATCAGCCTGGCCAACATGGTGAAACCCTGTCTCTACTAAAACTACAAAAATTAGCCAGGTGTAGTGGCTGGCGCCTGTAATCCCAGCTACTCGGGAGGCTGAGACAGAAGAATCGCTTGAACCTGGGAGGCGAGACTGCAGTGAGCTCAGATCGCGCCACCGCACTCCAGCCTGGGCAACAAGAGCAAAACTCTGTCTCGAAAATAAATAAATAAAAATAAATACTGCAATGAATTATGTGAGGAACTTGCCTCCACTCTAGGAGGGGAAATGATAATTACAATTCCTTACATCTCTAACGGCAATTTTACAGTTTGCAAAGAGCTTAGGTACTTAGCATCTCGGCTGATCAACGGTAATTTGGTAGAGCGCGGATTACCACACTGACCTGACCGGATGTTACAGAGACTAAAAGCAGTAACGCATCTGGCACTCTTCCCAACGAAAGGGTGGGATGAGATAGTTCATAGGTACACCTACCGAGGGTTGGCGACTAACTTAAAAGATTAACAGCACTTTTTTCCAACACTCCATACGTCCTAGATCCCGTGCTAAGAGTTTTACAAACATCATCAAATTTGATTCCCACCTGTCTATGAGGCAGGTACTGTTATCAGCCCCATCTCACAGAAGACAAAAGTGAAACACAGAGGTAACGGGTAAGGTCACCATGCCAGTGGGGGCGCGGCGTGAACCCGGGCAAATTGACACAAGTCCTGCACTTTCCTGCCCAAGGTCACGGCGGTGTGAGGTAGGCTGGAGAAGGGAGGGCGCTGACCTGTCAGATACTTGTTCCTGGGTGAGCTTCTTGTCGCTCTGCAGCAGGATGGACACGTAGTGGCGGATCATGCCTACGAAGAAAGTGATGATTACGATGGGTAGGACCACCCAGAGGCGGATGTTGGAGTCAAGCAATAGTTCTGGCCCTGCCATCTTCACTGAAAGCTGGCTCCCAGCAGGGGATGGGCGAGCTTCTCTTCTCTGGGGCGCAGTTGCTTCTCTTCGACTTCGCCTCCGGGCCTTCTCACGCCCCTTTCGCCCGGCTAGCCCAGAACTCCGCGGCAGCTGTGAGCCCAGCGTACTGACTTCAGCTGGGCTGCCCGGCCTTCCACTTCCGGCGCGGAAGTTGACGTCACGTCGTGGCGCCCCTCGGTGGCGTCAGAGCGGCGTCGGGCTTGGCGGGAAAGTCGAAAACGACAGGCGGCGACGGCTTCTCGGTGGGTAAGTGGGGCAGTGGTCGTAGTCTCTCGAGGTCCCGCTCCTCTGCGGCCTAATCTCTAAGCCCGGGCCGCGGTCGGCGTTCTCCTCTGGGGCTCCGCGCCCGGAACCTCGGCTTCCTCATCTGCTCTGAGATGGGATAATTCCTACAGGTACCTCTCTGCGTCGTTCACATGAAGAAACGAGAAAGTCTTTTACCCTCACACCCTTCCAGATGAACCAGTCCAGGCGGTCGGCCTCAACTCCCATCTGCTGGGCTTCTCTGGAAGCCTCATGGTATCACATGTGTTAAGGCCGGGTGCCTCGAAGCCGGACGTCCTGACTTGCCTTAGTTTTTCCATCTGCAAGATGGCTGATAATGGTTATCAGTATTAGCCGTGGCGGCGATAAATAAAAAGCTTAGCACTGTGCCCGGTACCTCGTAAGTGTTAACCATTATTATACGTCAATATTATCATTAAGAGTAAGAATAGGTGGTGAAGAGCGCGGGTGCTGGAGCCAGACTGCCTGAGTTAGAATCCCAGTTCTGCCACTGACGAAGAGAAAAGTAATGATACCCCCCTCAGAAAATTTTGTGGGAAATAAACGAATTATTAAATATAAAGTACTTGAAACAGTTTTTGTTAGCTTTTAGCATTTCCCCTTCCCTGTCAGCTCTTCTCACTCTGAATATTCTCAGAAATTTTCTTTACGCCGGTAAATATGCTGGGCATTAGGGACAGTGAGTGAGACTGTGTTCCTGCTCTCAAAGAGCCCCGGTCTAGTGTGAGGTAAGGGCTCCTAGATATACCCTGTGGAACAAGGAAGCTGCAATAGCAAACGCCCTTAGGGAGAGGAGGAACACTTCAAGGAAGGTGACATTTGATTGAATGTTTAAGTCTGAGTAGGAATTTCCAGGCAAATAAGAGCACTTCAGATAAACACCTTTGTGCAAAGGCACTGAGACCACGAAGGTTCTGATTTACAAGATAAACTAAAAGGTCATGTGGTTCAGGCACTCCCCTACCTCTGTCTCATTTCTAACTCCACATCTCCTTGTTTCAGTATGAGTATTTATTGCCTGGACTCTTCTTCTCATGCCTCTTCTACTGGCTGACTCTTGTCAGCCCTCAAGTCCGTGCTTAAAAATCACTTTGTCAGGTCAGGCACGATGGCTCACGTCTGTAATCCCAGCACTTGGGGAGGCTGAGGTGGGTGGATCACTTGAAGTCAAGAGTTTGAGACCAACCTGGCCCACATGGTGAAACCCTCTCTCTACTTAAAAAAAAAAAAAAAAAATTAAATACTTCTTCAGGGAGATTGTCCCTAAGAAATGTCCTTGCTTCTCTTTACCACCCCTTCTAGCAACTAGTCTAAATTTCCTAGTAATCCCTCACAGAACTACTTTTATAGCGCTTACATAAGCGTAGTTCAGTACATTAAGGCTATTTGTTACTATCTGTAAACTCCCTGAGGACAGATATGTCTGTCTAGTTGTTCACAGTTGTAATTCCAACACCTAGCACAGTTACTGACATGTAATATTGAAGTAATGAGTTAAAAGGACAGGTAGGTGGCTGGGCGTGGTGGCTCACACCTGTAATCCAAGCACTTTGGAGGCCAAGGTGGGCGGATCACCTGAGGTCGGGAGTTCAAGACCATCCTGACCAACATGGTGAAACCCCGTCTTTTTTTTTAAAAAAAAAAAAAAAAAAAAAAAGGACTGGTAGACTGGGGATAGATAATGAAGGGTCTTGAATCTCAGATGGAGAGCTATATGTTTTATCCTTCAGCAACAGTGAAGTAGTCTGCCTAAGAGGAAACTAATAAACAAAATAAACCTTGAAAGGAAGGTAGTATTGACAGATATAGGAGTTGAAATTTGCTTAGCACCTGGATTTAGATAGCATTAGTATGAAGATGTGAGCCCTTCTGATTTTTGGATAGAGGAATTTTCTTTGAACGATACCTTTAACTTCTCAGAATTTAGCTTCTAGAGGGTAACTTCCGTTCCCTGATTTTGCTCTAGGAAGTAATTTAATTGCAGAAGACATTGGTCAAAATGGTTTCCAAAAGAAGATTGTCAAAATCTGAGGATAAAGAGAGCCCGACAGAAGATGCCTCCAGTAAGTATCTAGTCATTTGTTGCTTTATTTCCTGTAGCAATGTGTGAGGCATTTAAAGAGATAGAAAGTTTCTGCTTTCAAAGTGCTGAGAATATTCAAAGTGTAATGGATAGAGCACATAAAATTAAGGGAGAAATATAAGTTTTGGGATTGAGTTTTTGCCTCGAATTCTGCATATAACTTTGAGCATCTCCACAGCCTCTGGGCCTCAGTCTCCACATCTGTAAGAGGAATTACTGTTATAGACTTTCTGCTATACATAATTTAGGTGTTAAGACACAAAGACATAGTCTCTACCCTTAAAAAACTTTATGAACTTCCTTCCTCTTGAAAAAAAAATTATGATCTTGACACATGCTATGATAGTGATGTATAAAGGAAAGATGTATCAAAGCAAGCACACCAGAGGCAAAGAAACAATGCACACTGCCCATATGAGAAATGGTTAATGTCCAGATGAAAGGAGTTGATGGCTGGGAGCAGTTGCTCACACCTGTAATCCAAGCACTTTAAGGCACTGAGGTGAGAGAATCACTTAAAGCTAGGAGTTCAAGACCAGCCTGGGTAACACAGCAAGACTCTATCTCTACAAAAAAAATTTTTTAATTAGCTGGGCGTGGTGGTGTGCACCTGTGGTCCTACTGTGGTCCCAGCTACTGAGGAGGCTGAAGCAGGAGGATCACTTGAGCTCAGGAGGTTGAAGCTGCAGTGAGTCACAGTAGCACCACTGTACTCCAGCCTAGGTGACAGAGTGAGCGAGTGAGACCGTGTCTCATAAAGGGAGGGGGGGGAGGGCGGGCAGGGGGTTGATAGTTCATTTATTGCGCTCATCTACTCTATTAAAGCAATTCTAACTTGGTTTTTGTTTGTTTTTATTTTACTAGGTTTTTAGGGAACAGGTTGTGTTTGGTTACATGAATAAGTTCTTTAGTGGTGATTTCTGAAATTTTGGTGTACCCATTACCTGAGCAGTGTGTAGTGTACCCAATGTGTAGTTTTTTAATCCCTCACCTACCTCCCAGCCTTTCTCTTGAATTCCCAAAGTCCATTATATCATTCTTGTTGTTGTTGTTTTGAGACGGAGTCTTATTCTGTTGCCCAGGTTAGAGTGCAATGGCATGATCTTGGCTCACTGCAACCTCCGCCTCCCGGGTTCAAGCGATTCTCCGGCCTCAGCCTCCTGAGTAACTAGGATTATAGACATGAGCCGCCATGTCGGGCTAATTTTGTGTTTTTAGTAGAGACGGGGTTTCTTCATGTTGGTCAGGCTGGTGTCGAACTCCAGACCTCAGGTGATCCGCCTTCTTCAGCCTTCCAAAGTGCTGGGATAACAGGCGTGAGCCACCACGTCCGGCCTGGGTTTATGTTTTAATTTTTACTTTACTATTTGCCATATTCTTGAAAATTTTGTCTGTTTTCAGAAACCAGGAACCAACCACTTCCTAAGAAGACAAAGAAATCTCAGGTTCTTAATGAAGTTGAAGAAAATGACAGCATCTTTGTAAACCTTCTTAAGACATCAGGAATTATTCTTAAAACCGGAGAGAGTCAGAATCAGCTAGGTAATATTTTAATCTCAGTTTATTCTCTGGGTTTAATGAAAGAGCTTAGGACTGAATCATGGGTTTTCTAGATAGAGAGGCAGTGAAGATTAGAAATCAGAGGACCATCTATCTTGAGACAAAGATGAATTGCTTTTTAGAAAATGGTACAGTCAGGCTGGGCACAGTGGCTCACATCCGTAATCCCAGCACTTTGGGAGGCCAAGGCGGGCGGATTGCCTGAGCTCAAGAGTTTGCAACCAGCCTGGGCAACATGGTGAAACCCAATCTCTACTAAAATACGAAAAATTAGCTGGGCATGGCAGCATGTATCTGTAGTCCCAGCTACTCAGGAGACTGAGGCAGGAGAATTGCTTGAACCTGGGAGGCGGAGGTTGCAGTGAGACGAGATCATGCTACTGCACTGCAGCCTGGGCAACAGAGCAAGACTCCACCTCAAAAAGAAAATGGTGCAGTCTTCGGTCCTCATTATTGCATGTTAGGTAAAGCATTTCTAATCCTTTTATAAGAAAAATGTTACATACTGTTATTTTTTTGTGTGTTTTCTTTAGAAAAAATAAATATCCAGAAAGCAACTATATCAGTGTCAGAATAATTTCAGAAGAAAATGTATAAAGCCATATAAGATTTTGTTTTGGGGGAATAGATTATTCTATCTTGCTAAGGTTATGGCAGGTCTTTTTTAGAACATTTAGTGGCCATCTGCTATCAAAGCTAAGTCTTTTATGTGGGTTTAGAAGATTTGGCTCTCAAATTAGGTTGAAAATATTTTTATTGGTTTCATCAGGCAAGAAACTTGGGTTTTTAGAGAAGGAAAACTATGGTAGGAGACTGGTAACCAGCTCTTCTTTTTTCTGCATAGCTGTGGATCAAATAGCTTTTCAAAAGAAGCTCTTTCAGACCCTGAGGAGACACCCTTCCTATCCCAAAGTATGTATTTTCCCCCTGATATTTTTGCTTGTGCCAGCATAACTCTGGAATTTGGAATTTAAAGACACTGGTATAAAGTAGAATGGGCTAGAATGATTTTTAACAGCGAATATTCAACTAAAAATTTTATTCTTTTGTGTTTTTTAAATCTCCTTATTAAGATAATAGAAGAATTTGTTAATGGCCTGGAGTCTTACATTGAGGATGAAGACAGTTTTAGGAACTGCCTTTTATCTTGTGAACGTCTGCAGGATGAGGAAGCCAGGTGTGGAAAGGAGGCATGGAATCTTGCTGAAATTGAATCTTTTAAGCTAACCGCATGGGGATGGGGAGGAAGAGCGCAGTTGTTTCAAATTTCATTTTTGGTGTAAGCTCTTTTTTCCTAAGAGTTTAAACCTAACTTCAAAATTCCTAAGTTTGTGGTCATGAGGCTAAAAATCAGTATTTTCTAGAATGTGTCTCACCTGTGTTGACAGAATTTCAAATCCCTACCTCTCCCTTGTTAAGGGCCATCTGCTCACTTCTGTATTTCCTGTCTAACAGGGTAGATCCTCTTTAAAGATTATGTATTTAACCAATTTTATTGAGAAAAGATGATAAAAGCATTAAAACAAGGAAAACAAAGTAGAAAACATGTCTCTTTTACAGTATGGGTGCATCTTATTCTAAGAGCCTCATCAAACTGCTTCTGGGGATTGACATATTACAGGTGAGACTGTTGCTTTTTCTGTGAACATTTGATTGATGAGGTTTGTGGTGTATGCTCAAGTCTAAATGGTGGGAACACAGGATAGAGTAGGGTTAATTGGGGAATTTGGGTTTGTAACAGCTTCACCACAGCCCTGTTGCTGTGATGGGTTTGGTAGAGCAATGTCTATGTTTTAAAATTGTGCTTATTAGCCTAATGCACCTGGTGGTCCCATTTATTCCCTTAGCATCTGATTCCTGTTCTTAAAGCTACATCCTGTGTACTCTGAGTACCTGGTAATCTTTATTATATTCATATCTACATCATCCCTCATTTAGCTTTTTAGATGCTTATGTAACTTAATTTTTGTCCTTTTATTCTTCCTCTTCTCTCTTTTTATTTTATTATTATTAATATTTTGAGACAGAGTCTCCCTTTGTTGCCCAGGCTGGGGTGCAGTGGTGTGATCTCGGCTCACTGCCACCACCACCTCCTGGGTTCAAGCGATTCTCCTGCCTCAACTTCCCAAGTAATTTTTGTTGTTTTGAGACCCAGCTAATTTTTGTTGTTTTGAGACAGAGTCTTGCTCTGTCACCAGGTGCAATCTCAGCTCACTACAACCTCCACCTCACAGGTTCAGGCGATTCTCCTGCCTCAGCTTCTCAAGTAGCTGGGACTACAGGCGCGCACCACCATGCCCTGCTAATTTTTGTGTTTTCAGTAGAGATGGGCTTTCACCATGTTGACAAAGCTGGTCTCGAACTCCTGACCTTGTGATCCACCCACCTTGGCCTCCCCAAGTGTTAAGATTACAGCCGTGAGCCATCACACCCAGCCCTCTTTTAATATATTAAGTAGACAATACATTGATATGATTTAAATATCTCAAGTTATACAAATGTATGTAGAGCAAAAAATTTTCCTCTACTCCATTCTCCATTTTTCTTCTTCTCTTTTCCCCTACTGTTAATCTTTTCACACTCTTAAACTCTTTCTTTTCTTTGGAAATCTTGACTATAATTTAGTTTTCTAAAGTCTAAGAGCTCCCTTGTTTCTCTGGAGAGCTCCCCTTGCAACCTACTTAATAATCATTTAAAGCCTGCATTTCATGGATTAACAGTTATCATATTTAATAATATTTTGATTATCTGCTTATTTTAACTTTGCCTTGATAATCATTTTCAGTTTTTCAGAAGACAAATTAAGTCTTTGTATTCCAATAGCATATTCTAAAAATAAAGACGATACTCATGTGGATAGCCTTTTAATAGGGTATGAACTTTAGCAAAGTGTTTCCTCCAGGAGCTCTAGCTGGAGAGGGAATTATACATTTCTCTCTCTCTCTCTTTTTTTTTTTTTTTTTTTTTTTTTTTTTAAACTCAGGGTTTCCTGTCACCCAGGCTAGAGCACAGTGGTGTGATATCTGCTCACTGCAACCTCTGCCTCCCTGAAGTTCAAGCGATTCTTGTGCCTCAGCCTTCCAAATAACTGAGATTATACATTTCTATTGTGTATTTTGAGATCATCTCCTAACTCCCTATATCTTCTTTTTTAGCCTGCCATTATCAAAGCCTTATTTGAGAAGTTGCCAGAATATTTTTTTGACAAGTAAGTGGAGTTGTTATGGGATGTTCAAAGTACCCTGGTGTACTTAAGCTTCTCTCTGAAAAGGTTACTCTGAAGACTGTCGGTTTCTCTGAAAGTCATAGTTATCATGATGCTTTTTAAGTGACTATTAAAATTTTACTGGAGTGTCTTTGAAGTTTCATCTATTAATATGACTTTGTAAAAATAAATAGGATTATGGTTAAAAGTAACTATTGGCCAGGTTTGATGGCTCACACCTATAATCCCAACTGAGGGGTTATAGGGAAGCTGAGGCAGGCGGATTGCTTGAGTCCAGGAATTCAAGACCAGCCTGGGCAATGTAGTGAGACCTTGTCTCTATTTAAAAACAAATTTTTTTTTTAAGTATCTATTGCTTATGATAATCCCTAATAGAAGGACAGTTGGCTGGAATTAGGTATTCTCTGAATACTTTTCCTTACCTTTTAAATTTTGTAGTGTATATTGAGACAGGGTCTCACCCTGTCGCCCAGGCTGGAGGGCCATGATTGTGGCTCACTGCAGCCTCAACCTCCCAGGCTTAAGTGATCCTTCCGCCTCAGCCCCCTGTGTGCCTGTGAGTACAGGTGAGCAGTACCACCAGGTCTGGCTAGTTTTCGTGGTTTTTTGGTAGAGATGAGGTTTTGCTATGTTGCCCAAGCTGGTCTCAAAACTTCTAGGCTCAAGTGATCCACCCGCCTCAGCCTCTCAAAGTGCTGGGATGTGGCCCTACCTGTTTTTTTTTAATTACTTCGTTAGGAAGAAAATGAACAGCCTAATAGAAAAGTAGACAAAGGTCGTGAATAGTTTACAAAGAAGAAATACAAGAACATCAAATATTTTAAAAGTTCAATTTTGTTAGCAATCAAAGGCACAAATTTAAAACACTGTATTAAAATAGTAAATATTGGCTGGGCGCGGTGGCTCACGCCTGTAATCCCAGGACTTTGGGAAGCCGAAGCGGATGGATCACGAGGTCGAGATATCGAGACCATCCTGGTCAACATGGTGAAACCCGTCTCTACTAAAACTACAAAAAATTAGCTGGGCATGGTGGCGCGTGCCTGTAATCCCAGCTACTCAGGAGGCCAAGGCAGGAGAATTGCCTGAACCCAGGAAGCGGAGGTTGCGGTGAGCCGAGATCACGCCATTGCATTCCAGCCTGGCTAACAAGAGCGAAACTCCGTCTAAAAAGAAAAAATATATAGGAAATATTAAATAAAATATTAAACAGTAAAATTAATGCATTTTTTCCTACTCTAAAATGGTTTCCTTGTTGAGTGTAGTGAATAGGCATGCTCGTACATTGCTAGTGAGCATATAAATTAGTTCAGGCATCGATTTCTAAGAGCAAAAGATTGTTATGTGTGAAAAACCTTAGATTTTGCATACCCTTTAATCCTAATGTTATGTCTCGTGATTTATTCTAAGATAATAACTGAATGAAAATGAAATAACATTAGTTTAATGCTTGCTTTGACAGCACATATACTAAAATTGGAACAATACAGAGATAAGCATGGCCCCTTTGCAAGGGTGACACCCAAATTTGTGAAGAATTCCTTTTATTTTAAAAGATTACTGTTTAAAATAAAGAAATGTGAATAATTGAGATGTTCAAAAAATTGAAATATCATGTGCACATTAATAACTGTAAAAAGAACTAGTTAATATCATACATTAATTGAAAAAAACCCAGGTTACACATAGCATTTATATTAGGTTGGTGCAAAAGTAATTGCAGTTTTTGCTATTAATAATTCAGTCTAGTATTTTGTTAAGAAAAGGAAGATGCACACATATACATATACATATGCATATTAATAGTGTACATTTCTGGCTTGACAGGATTATACTCATTTCTGTGTTCTCCTTTTTAATTTTTTCAGGGTCCTGTATACAAGTAATAATAAATTTGAAGTTTTATTTGTTTATTTTGAAACAGAGTTCTGTTACCCAGGCAGTAGTGCAGTGGTACGATCTTGGCTCACTGCAACCTCCACCTCCTGGGTTCAAGTGGTTCTCCTGCCTCAGCCTCCCTGGTAGCTAGGATTGCAGGTGCATGCCACTACGCCCAGCTAATTTTTTGTATTTTTAGTAGATTCAGTGTTAATATTTAGTGTGTCTTCTAGACATCTTTCTCAACATACATAAGCATATATCTCCTGTGTATTGGGTATCACTTGTGTGTCTAGCACAGTGCCAGATGCATAGTAGGTATTCAGTAAATGTTAATTGAATGCTAAAACATTTTGTGTAGTATTAATGCTTGCTGTTAATATTGGCCAGAAAGGCTAAGTTTCTTGTCCTCTCTTCCTATCACTTCAGCAAGAACAGTGAAGAAATCAACATACCTCGACTCATTGTCAGTCAACTAAAATGGCTTGACAGAGTAGTTGATGGCAAGGTAGGCTTATGGACTTTATCTCTTGAATTTAATAAAACTTGTATCTAATAAAACTTTTGGAAGTTGTATGCTTCTTTTTTACTCTTTCTAAACAGAAAATTCATACTTTTCCATCTATCCATTAGCTTTTTCCAATTTTCATAATTTGGGAATTATAGATCTTTCACCCTTTAAATTTCATCAGAAACATTTATTCAAATATGAACAGTAGATATTATTTATTAAATAAAAATTTGGAAAGATTCTTTTACAAAGTCCAGAGACAACTGTGTTTATTATTTATTTCTCAGATAATTTCAGTTCTGCATTTCACAAATAGATAGTCTTTGTCTATTCTGGGTAATGTGCTGCAGTTCTAATAGTGTCCTCTAACTGCAGGACCTCACCACCAAGATCATGCAGCTGATCACTGTTGCTCCAGAGTACCTGCAGCATGACATCATCACCAGCCTACCTGAGATCCTAGGGGATTTCCAGCACGCTGATGTGGGAAAAGAACTCAGGTGGATAAGCACTCTGTCATCATCTAAGCGAGGCTCGACTGGGAGCTTTATCACTGTAATATGCAAAGAGCAGTAGTAATGTGGTGTCTTATATCTAAAAAGAGGATGATACCTACCTTCATGAGTCTTGATTTGACTTAAAAAGAAAAAAAAAGTATATATTTGAATAGATCCATGTATTTTCTTTTAAATGGTATACCTGTTATGAGAATGAAGCCTGGCTTGGGATTGGGTATCTAAATTTGGCCAGTGGAGAAGCTGACCATGATCTCTTAGTTCCATTAACATGTTCTTCAGGGGGTCCTTAATCCTCGCTGCACATTAAAATCATCTGTGGAGCCTGTTACACATCTACATTCTTTGGGTTCCTAGATGATTCATTGTAATGCACAGCCCTGCATCAGACTCCTTGCTGAGACCCATTGCTTACTGTCATTCATTTGAAAAATAGTAATTCGTAGGGCAGTATTTAAGAAGGGGAGAATAGTTTCCCTAGATAATAAAGCTTCTATCTTAATGCAACTTTTTATTATACTGGAAGTATTTTTTAAAATTCAATTTGTAATACTTTTTTTGTTTTTTAACTTTTTTTTTTTTTTTTTTTTTTTTTGGTATACTTTTCTATAGTCTGCAAAGCTACCTCCAAAACGTCCAATGATTTCTTGCCTTTGTGCTTTTGGGCAGGATGCTCCCTCTGGGCAAAGCGCTATGCCACCCACTTTACCTGCCTGATGCCAGCTCATCTCCTTCTGTATAGCCTTCTTTTAGAATCTGTCACTGTTGGTCAGGTGCAGTGGCTCACACCCTTAATCCCAGCATGTTGGGAGGCTGAGGTGGGTGGATTGCTAGAGCCCAGGAGTTCGAGACCAGCCTGGGCAACATGGTGAAACCCCCTCTCTACAAAAATTAGCCATGTGTGGTGGTATGCACCTATAATCCTAGCTACTCAGGAGGCTGAGATGGAAGGATCGATTGCGTATGGGAGATCAAGGCTACAGTGAGCCCTGATCATGCCACCATACTCCAACCTGGGCATCAGAGTAAGACCGTGTCTCAAAAAAGAAAAACAAAAAAACGACAATCACTGTCCTCACTACATTGTGCTCCTGTAGCATTATGTACATGTGTCTGTCATACTTACCACATTTCATTTTAATGTTTTGGGTTTCCTTTTTTCTTTTTGTGGGGAAAGATATGTACCAAACTAAATAGTGGTGTTCTTTGGGTAGTGGGGATTGCGAAGGAAGGCTTCTTGTTTCTACTTTTATTATTCGAATGTTTATAATGAGCATGTATTATTTTTTGCAGTTAAAGCAGTTTTTAATGAATACTAGAAAGTATAATTTAATGGCAACTAAGTATATCGTTTCTTTTCATACTCTAGTGAATGATTTTTTCAAGTGATTGTCTCCCTAGCTCTGCTCAAAACATTACACAACTTTTTTCTTTTTCTGTCATTCACAGTGACCTACTGATAGAGAATACTTCACTCACTGTCCCAATCCTGGATGTCCTTTCCAGCCTCCGACTTGACCCAAACTTCCTGGTGAAGGTAGGAAAGACTTTCTTTCCAGAAACAGCCAGCTTTCCAACTTCCTGGAACAAGTGTTAGTCATTGCCTTGGGAAAAATCTTGTGTAATGAACATTTCTATTTGAAACTATAGTGAGTCATATTTGATTTCTCTCTTTCTCTTTTTTTTCTCAACAAGTTTCAGATGCTGTATATGATAGATTCATAGGTCTGTTTTTAAGCAGTAAGTTTTGAATGGAAATCTTCTATATTGCGTGAATTGTACCTGCTTCCGAGGAATAATACTTTTTATGCCGTACTGTAGCCAGTTGAGAATTTAGGCTCTAAATGTAAGATAATAGTTCTCTTTCACATTTATTGCCTGTTTTTGACGAAGCTGTGGTATTAACAGCTAAAAGAAGGCCGGGCGCGGTGGCTCAAGCCTGTAATCCCAGCACTTTGGGAGTTTGCTTGAACCCAGGAGGCGGAGGTTGCGGTGAGCCGAGATTGTGCCATTGCACTCCAGCCTGGGCAACAACAGCAAAACTCCGTCTCCAAAAAAAAACAACAAAAAAATTGTAATTTGGGGAAAAAAAAAAAGGAAGAGAGTTGAGTTTTTTTTTTTTTTTTTTTCCCCTAAATTATAAGTGGGAAAGCTGAGTAAGAGAAGTGATTTTTTTTTTTTCTAATTTTACCTAATAGTTCGGGATAAAGTTGAGGTAGTGACATGAAAATGTGTAAAGTTTTTGTCCTTGTAATTTTTAGGTCCGCCAATTGGTGATGGGTAAGTTGTCATCGATCAGATTGGAGGATTTACCTGTGATAATAAAATTCATTCTTCATTCCGTAACAGCCATGGATGCACTTGAGGTATGCTTTTATATCCCATCACACCTAGATAAAGGGACTTAAATTAATAAGTCCCAGTTGCTCTTCTCTGTCCCTAGACTGAGAATACTGACTAATTGAGATAGCATTTAGAGAAGAGAATGAAGCTGTTCAACAGATTCATTACTCTATATAAGCTGTTGTAAGTTATATTTACTCTTTTTTTTTGTAGTACCTCACAGAATTCTGAAATTTGGGGCATGGCATTCTGTGACATTGCATTAGCTATTCTCATCAACTCTATTTTTCGAAATGTCCAACATTTACAATTTCTCTTTCTCAGTCTTTCAGGAGACTGTTATGGTTGAGAGACTGGACTGTACCTACCCACTACGAATGAACAGAACACCATAGCTAATATTTACTTTCTGCAGGTAATTTCTGAGCTTCGGGAGAAGTTGGATCTGCAGCATTGTGTTTTGCCATCACAGTTGCAGGCTTCCCAAGTAAAGCTGAAAAGTAAAGGACGAGCAAGGTAAAGAGCTCATGGATAATTACCACCCTTTTCCTCACATAGGATGTCACAGTTTTCTGATATCTCAAAGTCAGAGTTAGAGCTTAATACTTACAACTACAAATAATGGTACTATTATGACATTTACATCTAGTATTACATAGTTATTCAAATTACATATATGTATGTGAGTATGTATGTGTTTATATGTTTTCTTAGCCATTCAGGTCAATCCTAGACAGACTACAGTGCAAGTTTATTAGCCATCTTACACATGAGGTTGTCATTTGCTCCAGGATACATAGCTACTGAGCAGGAACTCAGATCTTGTAAGTTCTTTTCTGGTGGGTAGAAGAGTAATTTTCCTCTCTGCTATTTGTAGTTCCTCGGGAAATCAAGAAAGCAGTGGTCAGAGCTGTATTGTTCTCCTCTTTGATGTAATAAAGTCAGCTATTAGATATGAGAAAACAATTTCAGAAGCCTGGATTAAGGTGAGATCTTTGGAACTTTGACTATCAAGGAGGAAATGAGTGGCAATTAGTGACAGATGTATAAATAAGGTAAATTTAAATAAAAATCTCAAAAGTTATTCAAGTGGAAATGATAGCTGATGGTTGCCATATGGACACATTGGCTCTCAGATGAGGTAACAAGGCATGCTGAATAAGGTGAAATGTGTTTCGCTGATGTGTCATAATATTTTTGTGATTCTCTCTTGCTTTTTCAGGCAATTGAAAACACTTCCTCAGTGTCTGAACACAAGGTAATATTCACGTACTATGCATTTTAAGTATTGTAGACTTAAAGTAATGACAGTGGCTAGCTTGCCTTCCCACTTTCTTTTTTTCCCCTCCTTCCAGTCACCCTTTTCTTTCTTCTGTAGTTGCTCTAATAAACATTAGCTGTCTGGGAAGGATAATCTGAGGTGGTGACTGGCCAGGTAGCCTACCCCTACTCACTCTGGCTATAAAATAAGCTTACAGTATCCATAAGGGGAAATACTCACAATTTAAACAAGCACTTCAAGATGCAATCAAAGAAGCCAGTTCCCCACTGATGAGATGAAGAAAATAGCCACCTAAGTCTTAGGTTTCTGTACCTGCCTAATTGCCCTTCCTTCCATCTAGCGCCACTGTCAAGATAATGGCATTTCATGTTTTTCTTTACTTTGCCCAGGTAGACCTGACTGGAGTAAATCAGTCTGTCCACTGTCAAGGCGATAGTACTAGATCTTTTGTCTTTCTTAATTCTAGAAATATCTTCCATCAAAAAGCCAGATGATTGCCTGGGCACAGTGGCTCATGCCTATAATCTCAACACTTTGGGGGGCTGAGGCAGGCGGATTGTCTGAGGTCAGGAGTTTGAGATTAGCCTGGCCAATATGGCAAAACCCCGTCTCTACTGAAAACACACAAAAAAATTAGCCTGGCCTGGTGGCATGTGCCACTGCACTCCAGCCTGGGAAACAGAGTAAGAAACTGTCTCCAAAAAAATGCTAGATGATTGAGTTTCTTAGGTGCTGATTAGTTGCTTTTAAAGATTTTTCTTTGGTTGGAATCTGTTTTGTGGGCTTTTGGTTGTGTTATCTAATTTTTGGATGACTATCTTAAAAGCTTTTATAATGCTGAATAAAGCAGTGAAAAAAATTTAAATTTTTCTGTGGTGAAAAATATCAAAGTACTCCAACACACTGTTTTTGGTTTTGCATAAACATAAATTGACCACCTTGGTTGCTTGCATACCTATTTGTACATATTTGTAATCATTGTATAAATATAGTTTGTATTCTTTTTTCTTTTAACATTTTTTCTCCTGTCATAAATATTTCACGTGCTTCTGCATTGTTTTCATTGTTATTTTTAATGACTGTATTCTCGTCTAATGTTTCTCAATTTCGGTGTCTTAAGGAGTGGAGCATTCAGTTAAGAGAAGTAGTAGAATTTGTTTTGTTTTTTTTCTTTTTTTGTCCTGCTTGCCTTTTTTTAACTTTTTTTTTTTTTTTTTTCTGGAAGCATAGACTCAAGATGCCCTGAATACACTCCCAGCTTTTTTCTCTTTTTTTTGTTGTTGTTTTGTTTTAAGAGACAGGCTCTTGCTCTGTTACCCAAGCTGGAGTGCTATGGCAACATCATAGCTTACTGCAGCCTCAAACTCCTGGGTTCAAGCGATCCTCCCACCTCAGTCTTCGGAGTAACTGGGACTACAGGCAAGCACCAACAAGCCTGGCTTTTTATTTATTTATTTATTTATGAGGCAGAGTTTTGCTCTTTTACCCAGGCTGGAGTGAAGTGGCACAATCTTGGCTCACTGCAACCTCTGCCTCCTGGGTTCAAGCAATTCTCCTGTCTTAGTCTCCCTAGTAGCTGGGATTATAGGTGCCCACCACCACACCTGGCTAATTTTTGTATTTTTAGTAGAGACAGGGTTTTGCCATGTTGGCCAGGCTGGTCTCGAACTCCTGACCCCAGGTGATCCACCCACCTCAGCCTCCCAAAGTGCTAGAATTATAGGCATGAGCCACCACACCTGCCCAATTCTTCTATTTTTTTGTAGAGATGTAGGTCTTGCTGTGTTTTCCAGGTTGATCTCAAATTTTTAGCTTCAAGTGATCCTCCTGCTTGGGCCTCCCAAAGTGTTGGGATTATAGGCGTGAGCCACTGCACCCAGCCCCCAAATTTTTCTTTTTTTAGGTAAACAAGCTAATTGCGGAGAAAAACCCACAAGGAATCTACAGATGTAAAAAGTACAGTTTTAAAGAGCTGGGCATGGTGGCTCAAGCCTGTAATCCCAGCACTTTGGGAGGCCAAGGCAGGTGGATCACAGGGTCAGAAGTTTGAAACCAGCCTGACCAACATGGTGAAAGCCTGTCTGTACTAAAAATACAAAAATTAGCCGGGCGTGATGCTACATGCCTGTGATCCCGGCTACTCAGGAGGCTGAAGCAGGAGAATCGCTTGAACCCAAGAGGTAGAAGTTGTGGTGCGCCAAGAGTGCATCATTGCACTCCAGCCTGGACAACAGAGTGAGACTCCATCTAAAAAAAAATAATAATAATAAGGTACAGTTTTTCTCCACTCTCTTCCCATTCCTCAGGGATAATCAATCCTTTCAAATTTTTTCTGTTCATAAACAAGCTGTAATTGTATGCAAGTACAGGTATACTCTTATGCCAACACATATGTATGTTTATATATTGTTTTTGCAAAAGCAGAATTTTAACTATGATTATGAGTGGTATTGTTTAAAGAGACAGGGTCTCACTCTGTCACCCAGGCTAGAATGCAGTGGCACGATCACAGTTCACTGTTACCTCAATCTCTTGGGCTGAAGTGATCTTCCTTCCTCAGCCTCCCAAAGCAGTGGGATTACAGACAGCCACCATGCCCATCCTGATTATTATTTTACAGGTTGCTTTTTTTCCCACTTCATGTCAGGAATGTCTTTTCTCTGTCAAAAAATATAAACTAGCTCAGCAGTCTCTAACCTTTTTGGCACCAAGGACTGGTTTCATGGAAGACATTTTTTTCCACAGACAGTGTGGGGGCATGATTTCAGGATGAAACTGTTCCACCTTAGACCATCGGGCACTAGTTAGATTCTCATAAGGAATGTGCAGCCTAGATCCTGTGCACGTGCAGTTCACAATAGGGTTCACACTGCTATGAGAATCTAATGCTGCCGTTAATCTGACAAGAGGTGGATCTCAGGTGGTAATGCTCACTTGACTGCCCCTCACCTCCTGCTTTGCAGCTTGGTTCCTAACAGACCACGGACTCTGGTCCAGGGGTTGGGGATCCCTGATCTAGCTTATTCTCTCTTTCTTTTTTTTTTTTAATTTTTAAATTTTTTAATTTAAAAACTTTGACAGTCTTGCTCTGTCACCCAGGCTGGAGTGCGGTGGCATGATCTTGGGTCACTGCAACCTCCACCTCCCAGTTTCAAATGATTTATCTGCCTCAGGCTCCTGAGTAGCTGGGATTACAGGCCCCTGCCACCATGACCATCTAATTTTTTTTTTTTTTTTTTTTTTTTTTTTAAGTAAAGATGGGATTTTACCATGTTGACCAGGCTGGTCTCGAACTCCTGACTTCAAGTGATCTACCCACCTTGACCTCCCAAAGTGCTGGGATTACAGGCATGAGCCACCATGCCCAGCTTGTCTTGTTCTTTTTGATGACTGTAATATTTCAAAAATTAAAATTACTCTATGATGATTTATTGAACTTTTCCCATATTGATGGGCATTTACAGCCTTTCCAACTTTTCACAAAGTAATTTTCCTAATAATAGTGAAAATACATACTGGAGTTGGCAAGTGATTGAATCTTTAATAAATGTGAAGATGTTCGAAGGTTCTTCTATAGTAATATCACTTTCACGTATATTGCAATGTATTCTTAAGAGATACCAGTGGTTAATAGTTGTGACACTTTATTTCTCTAAAAATTATTTCTGGGTTTTGTGAAAAGTATAGGTATTCCCAGGGGAGTTTGTTCAACAAATGAGTACCATCCATTCTGTGTTTTAATGGGAAAAAGCTGCTGTTTTGTTGTAGCAAAGGTACTGATTTACTGACTGTTCTTCTATTGCATATCTGACAATAGGTTTTTGACGTGGTGATGCTTTTCATCATCTATAGCACCAATACTCAGACAAAGAAGTACATTGAAAGGGTGCTAAGAAATAAGATTCGATCAGGCTGCATTCAAGAACAGCTGCTCCAGAGCACATTCTCTGTTCATTACCTAGTAAGTGTCAGAGATTATTGACTTTTAATCTAAAAAGGAAAGCTTTACAACTCCCATGTAAAATTTCATCTTACTTCAGTCCATTGTTCACACCCATTGAGATTTTTGAATTTTATTTTGCATTAATCATTTCGATTGTCTATCTCAACGCAGTTTGCAACTTTGACAAACTGGCCTTCCGTATCCTATCTACGTAGCTTATAAAAACCTTGAGGGGAATAGGACCAGCCTATAGAAACTAGTAGAAAAGGAATATGAATCTATTTGAACTCTGGCCATTCAAAACTGTGGACTTAAGGTAATCAGTCCTCTAGAAATGTAAATTATTCAAACTGGAATTCTATAAGCTGAGAATAGTGTTTTTCTGGCTGAACGTTCAGGATATTAGCAGTATAGAACTTGGAAAACTGGATGAGCTAGTGGATTGGGGTTTGGGCTAGGAGCTAATGAGAATTACCTCATTGAGTCTTAAGATTTTATATTTAGGAATAGATTTAATGTTTGTATTATTTTATCTTGCAGTTCTTTCTGTGTTTATTTCTGCTAATGATAAATATTTTGGGCTGTAATTTTCTATAGGATAAAACTCATACGTAATTTTTCATTGCATTTTCCCCAATAGAGTATTATACCCAGCTTAGTACTAAATGTAAGATTTTTTTTTTAAATTATGACATCAGTAAGGAAGCTATGTTTATTAACTGGTTATTTACTCTGGGTCCATTAATGTCTGTGTATGTATTTTGCATTATTGGTAGGACATGATCACTTCTCTTCTTGATCTTCTTTTTAAAGAAAATCAGTTTAGTTAACACTGAACCTTAATATACCTATTTCAAATTATAACCAAGGTGGAACATCCCTGGTGGATAGTGTGATTGTGTAAGGAAACTGGATTTTAGAAGATCTGGCCTCCAATACCAAATTGAGCAGATAGGAATGTACTATTAGACTTATAATTTAACTTATTTGAGCTTAAAGGTTAATTATTATCCAAATATGCAATCCCATTGATTCTGAGAGAAAACTCAGAATGGTGAAGGATTATTCTGTGTAAAACAAATATTAAGAATTCTTAAGTTAAAATGAGAGGGAGGAGAAATCTGATATTCCAAAAGGATAAGCAACTCTTAGGCTGTGTATTAACTGTTTGCTACAGCTTCTTTTCTCTCTCTACTCTTCCCCACTCAAGGTTAAGGATATGTGTTCATCTATTCTGTCGCTGGCTCAGAGTTTGCTTCACTCTCTAGACCAGAGTATAATTTCATTTGGCAGTCTCCTATACAAATACGCATTTAAGTTTTTTGACACATACTGCCAGCAGGTATGTTGAAACATTTATTTTTGGTAAGGAGGGAACAGGGGAAGGGAAAATAATGTGATGTTTATTTCTTGTTGGTTGGAACATACTGAAGGGGAGGGAACTCTGAACTGGGTCTCAGGAAAGCTCAATTCTAGTCCCAGCCTTGAAGAAATGAAGAGACTTGACTGGTGGACCTAACTCTGTGTTCTGAGCTCTAAGATCCTCTGTCTGAAATCAAGATCCAGATCCAGGCTATTTCAAATAAACCTTGGCTTAAAGAATTGGGGTCATCAGTAGGTAGTTTCCATAATACAGGAATGGCAGTTAAATTTAGCTGTAAATAATTCCAATCTTGGAATTGTTCTCTAGAAAAAATTGCGGCAAAAAACAAATGAACAAGAAATGCTTGAGGTTCTAACCCTATTACCAAGAACATGAGACACTTTTTTTTTTTTTTTTTTTTTCTTTGAGATGGAGTTTTACTCTTGTTGCCCAGGCTGGAGTACAGCAGCACGATCTTGGCTGACTACAGCCTCTGCCTCCTGGGTTCAAGCGATTCTCCTGTCTCAGCCTCCTGAGTAGCTGAATTACAGGCACGTACCACCACTCCCAGCTATTTATTTATTTATTTTTTGAGACAGTTTCAATCTTGTTGCCCAGGCTGGAATGTAATTGTGCGATCTTGGCTCACGGCAACCTTCACCTCCCGGCTTCCAGTGATTCTCCTGCCTCAGCCTCCCAAGTAGCTGGGATTACAGGCATGCACCACCAAGCCTGCCTAATTTTCTATTTTGGGTAGAGATGGGGTTTCTCCATGTTGGTCAGGCTGGTCTTGAATTCCCAACCTCAGGTGATCCGCCCACCTTGGCCTTCCAAAGTACTGAGATTACAGGGTGAGCCACCGCGCCTAATTTTTTGTATTTTTAGTAGAGATAGGGTTTCACCATGTTGGCCAGGCTAGTCTTGAACTCCTGACCTCAGGTGATCTACCTGCCTCCACTTCCCAAAGTGCTGGAATTATAGGCATGAGCCATCACACCTGGCCGAGACGCATTTTAATAGCATATGTCCAGAGAGGGAAGACTGTACTTGTGGAAAATGTTTTTGAAAGCAAGTACTGAACAGTGTCTTTATTTTGTATTTTTACATATATTCTTCCTATTATTAGCAATGTTAAAATGCATTTGAATAGAACTTTCAAATGAAGATTTGTAAAAAAAATTTTTCAAATAGAGCCATAGTTGCAGCTGACATGCGCTAGCTGTTGCAGTTGAGAATAAAATTCTGTTATGACTGTCATGGAGCGATGGTATAAAAGAAGAATGGCATCTAAGACTTTTTTTTTTTTTTTTGAGACAGAGTTTCACTCTCGTTACCCAGGCTGGAGTGCAATGGCGCGATCTCGGCTCACCGCAACCTCCGCCTCCTGGGTTCAGGCAATTCTCCTGCCTCAGCCTCCTGACTAGCTGGGATTACAGGCACGCGCCACCATGCCCAGCTAATTTTTTGTATTTTTAGTAGAGACGGGGTTTCACCGTGTTGACCAGGATGGTCTCGATCTCTTGACCTCGTGATCCACCCGCCTCGGCCTCCCAAAGTGCTGGGATTACAGGCGTGAGCCACCGTGCCCGGCCCTAAGACATTTTTGAACCCTCTTAATATCTTAGAGACACTATCATAATTCCATGTTTGCTTGGAAACATGCAAGTCTACCCTGTACTATATAGAGAAAACCTTTAAAGCTTTTAGCTCCTTGAGTGCCATCTTTTTGAGAAATTTCAACTGGTCTTGTATAACCCCAACTTAAAGTGTAAAATTTAATCCATATGAGAAAAAAGAAAGAGGAAAACATGCCAAGAAGCAAAATCAGGAGGGCTTAGGTAGTGCTCACTGATAAGTTACGGGAAATAGGTCAAGAGTGGATGATAATAGTTACATTGCTTATTCCTAAATCCCCTGAAGCCAACATTAGTGAAAACTAAATAATAGATGATGGGATTGGGTTGATTGTTATTTTAACAAAGCAGAGATTGAAGAGGCCTTGGGGTAAACCCTTTTAGAGCAGCCATTCCATATTTTGTTTTAGACTGTCTATTGACTCTCCCCTGTGTAGGAAGTGGTTGGTGCCTTAGTGACCCATATCTGCAGTGGGAATGAAGCTGAAGTTGATACTGCATTAGATGTCCTCCTAGAGTTGGTGGTATTAAACCCATCTGCTATGATGATGAATGCTGTCTTTGTAAAGGTATCTCATTGGCTTCTTGTACTTTAGATACTGAATACTATAATTGGTGGGAGGAGGTGGGAAGGAGGTGAAATAATGGGCAAGTCATATAAATAAAAAGTGACTATTCTGTGTGTTAATTCATTCAGTAAACACTTCTTTATACTTAATCTATGGGCTAAGCTCTATTCTGGGTGCTGTGCATGTAAAGTAGGTCCTTGCCTTTGATGTTAAAGACTAAAACACATAAGCAAGTCACTATAAATACAACATGGTGAATTTTTCCAGTAACGTACTATAGATACAACAGAGCAAGAATAATTATTTAGCCTGGGAAGCTGGAGAAATCTTCAAAGAAGCAATTTGAGTGATTGTTGAAGGCTGGGAATGGTTGACAAGAGAAAGTAAGGGAAGTGGATTCTAGACAGAGAAAAGTTTGAGCAGAAGCAAATTGGTGCCCAAGTCAATGGTGTGACTTGGAGAAATGAGAAGCAAACAAGCATGACTGAAGTATAGGATATGTATGGAGAGGAGTGGTGGGAGGTGAGGCTGTTAAGATACAGGACAGGCCCATGTTGCAGAGAGTCTCAAATAACCTGCTAAAGAGTTTCAACTTTATTTTCTAGATAATAGGGAGCTATTACCAGTTTTTAGATAGAGCTGACCTAATCTACTCGACTTTGACAGATAACTCAGTAGGCTATATAATGGGTGGATTGGAGACCGCTGAAATGGTCTAAGGGAGTGAGAGTAGGGTCAGATTTTGGTTGCGGGAATGCAGAAGAAATGATGGTTTAAGAGACAATTTGGTGTTAGAATTAACATGATTTGGTGACTGTTAAAAATATGGTGGCAATAAGAAACAGGAAAACTAGGTCTGAGTTTATCATCTTAGAACACTAGGTGAATGGTTGTGTCATTTCCTGAGACCAGGAGGGAGAACATCTTCTGTAGGAAGTATGATGAGTGCATTCTGGGATAGCCACATGTAGATGGTTAGCAGATAGTTGAAAATTCTGGTTTGGAACCTTGTGGGGCACCCTTTGGTAGAAGATTTAATTTGGGTATTCATAACCGTATAAATGTGAGCTCAACTGAGGCAATTTAGAGGCAGAAGACCATAGAAGCTTAGAAGAGCACAGACATTTTGAGAACGTTGCAGTTTAAGTGGTAGACTAAAGCAAATGTCCATAGAAGGAAAATTAAAAAAATAGAAGATGAGTAATGTGAACTTGAAGGATGTCAGGTAGCAAAAGCCTAGGAATGAGTTTCAAGACTGAGGGATTTATCTCCAGTGTTGGATACTGTAGGAGTTGAAGATGGAGCATAGGTTATTGGCTTTGGTAATTAGGATAGCTCTGTTAACCTTTGAAAGAACAATGTAAGTTGAATTATAAGGATGGAAGCCAGAGAGCAGTAACTTGAAAACTGGGGGAATAGAGTCAATATTGAGAAGCATCAAGGAGGAGGAGAAAATAAGAAAAGTAGCTTAAGAGAGAAGCTGGTTGCAAGAGAGATATTTTTTAGATGAGGAGGTTTGAGGTTGCTTTTAGGCTAAGAGAAGATTCAATAGAGAGGAGGAAATGGAAATTTTTTTAAATTAAAAGTTTATGGGCCGGGCACGGTGGCTCACGCCTGTATCCCAGCACTTTGGGAGGCCGAGACGGGTGGATCATGAGGTCACGAGATCGAGACCATCCTGGTCAACATGGTGAAACCCCGTCTCTACTAAAAATACAAAAAATTAGCTGGGCATGGTGGCACGTGCCTGTAGTCCCAGCTACTCGGGAGGCTGAGGCAGGAGAATTGCCTGAACCCAGGAGGCGGAGGTTGCGGTGAGCCAAGATCGCGCCATTGCACTCCAGCCTGGGTAACAAGAGCGAAACTCCATCTCAAAAAAAAAAAAAAAATTAAAAGTTTACAAAGCTGTTTTATTACTTTTTCCTCTGACAAACTCTGAAAGGTAGTATAGCTGTTATTGCCATGTTACAGATGAGAAAAGCTGAGGCATTTCCCAAGGTTACAAAGTAAATAGTTTCCTTGTGACTCCTTCCAGATCTGTAGAGAAAGAAGAAAAAATTCATTGAGTAGAAGCTGGGAAAGGATGATGTGGCAAGGAATAGGGTAAAGACATAGCTTTTGATAGAATACTGTTTTCACTGAAAAAAAAAAAAAAAAGGGAAAGGTGGAAGTAAAGAATACAGAGATCGGAGAACTGGAAGATGCATTAGAATGACTAACCAGTAGATGCAGAGTGAAGAGGACAAAGAAAACATCTTTCCTGATATTTGTTCCTACTCTCTAATAATAAGAGAATTAGAAAGCTTTAAGAGTTTTCTCATTTATATCCAGTCTACCAAACCTTTGGGCTCTGAGCAGAGCTTTTAGAACTTAAGCTTTTCTTTTTTTTTTTTTTTTTTTTTTTTTTTTTTTTTTTTCTTCTTTTTTTTCTTTTTTAAAGAGACGGGGTTTCACCATGGCCAGGATGGTCTCCATCTCCTGACCTCATGATCCACATGCCTCAGCCTTCCAACGTGCTGGGATTACAGGCGTGAGCCACTGCACCCGGCCTAAAACTTAAGCTTTTAAGGAAACTAAAAAGTTTTAGATGCCTGGCTATGTGTGCCTCTCTTACAGGGATTTTAATTTTTTGATTTTTAAGGGAAAAAAATGTTAGTTGCTAGCATCACTGTTGGTATCATTTTTTCCACAGGGCATTTTAGATTATCTAGATAACATATACCCTCAGCAAATACGAAAACTCTTCTATGTTCTCAGCACACTGGCGTTTAGCAAACAGAATGAAGCCAGCAGCCACATCCAGGTAAGGGGCAATATGTTGGGAAAGATTTTGTTATTTTTATTTTTTTTTTTTATTTTTTATTTTTATTTATTTATTTTTTTTTTGAGACGGAGTTTCACTAATTTATTCAGGCTGGAGTGCAATGGCGCGATCTCGGCTCACCGCAACCTCCGCCTCCTGGGTTCAGGCAATTCTCCTGCCTCAGCCTCCTGAGTAGCAGGGATTACAGGCACGCGCCACCATGCCCAGCTAATTTTTTATATTTTTAGTAGAGACGGGGTTTCACCGTGTTGACCAGGATAGTCTCGATCTCTTGACCTCGTGATCCACCCGCCTCGGCCTCCCAAAGTGCTGGGATTACAGGCTTGAGCCACCGCGCCCGGCCTATTTTTATTTATTTTTAATTTTTTTTTGTCCAGCTCTTTCACCCAGACTGCAGTGCAGTGGCTTATTGCAACCTCCGCCTCCTGGGTTTAAGCAATTCTCCTTGCCTCAGCCTCCCGAGTAGCTGGGACTATAAGCACATGCCACCACACCCAGCTAATTTTTGTATTTTTAAACCTCTTTACTTGAAATTTGCTGGACAAAACCAAACAAATGATAGATTTACTAGTCTGTGTAGTAGTGGAAATAGAGGCAATTTTTTATTCTTACCACAAACATTAAGGGCCTACTCTGCCAGGCACTGATAAATTAGATCGATCCTCTGCCCTCAAAAAAAAAAGCTTTGTCTGTTAGGGTAGAGATGGGTCTGTGATCAGCTAATCATGAAACTATTCAGGTTCTGAATGCAGTGGGGGCACATAATTGCCTTGTTTCCTAAGAAACATCTCCATCTAATGTGAACTTCACCTGGGCTTGCTTTTGTTTGTGGACATCATTCACTGAAAAAGCCAGGCTGTAATCCCAGCACTTTGGGAGGCCAAAGCAGGCAAATCACGTGTGCCCAGGAGTTTGAGACCAGCCTGGAGAACATAGTGACACCTGTCTCTACAAAAAAAACGCCCAACCTTGCCTCCATGTTTAGATCTGTACCTAAGTATTTTATTCTAGTTCAGTATTTTAGCTGCGCTGTCATCAACATTATGATAATTTTCATATCATTATAGAAATAATAACAATAAAAACTATTATGATTGAATGTCTATCATGTGCCAGGCACTGTTCTAGAAGTTTTTGGTAATTCGTCTCAAATCCTTAAAACAACCTTCCCCATTTCACAGATATAAAAATTAAAACTTGGAGAGATGAAATGACTCGCTAAAGACACAGTGGGGTGGGCGTGGTGGCTCATACCTATAAATCCAGCACTTTGGAAAGCTGAGGTGGGCGGCTCACCTGAGGTCAGGACTTCAAGACCAGTCTGGCCAACGTGGTGAAACAAAATTAGCCGGGCGTAGTGGCAGGCACCTATAATCCCAGCTACCCAGGAAGCTGAGGCAGGAGAATTGCTTGAACCCAGGAGGCAGAGGTTGCAGTGAGCAGAGATTTCATCGTTGCATTTTAGCATAACGAGCAAAACTCCGTTCTCAAAAAAAAAAAAAAAAAAAAAAAACAGTAAACAGTAGAACTCTTTATGTTCTAGCTGTATGACTCAATATCCATTCATTCTTTTGCTGTGCCACGCCAGCATTTTCATTTTTCTTCATCGTCTTATTGCAGGATGACATGCACTTGGTGATAAGAAAGCAGCTCTCTAGCACCATATTGAAGTACAAACTCATTGGGATTATTGGTGCTGTCACCATGGCTGGCATAATGGCGGCAGACAGGTACACATGGAGATTCTGACTTCTGTGGTTTAAGATCAGTTAATCTTGCTGACTAAGTGTTACATTGCGTAGACATTTTAACAGTAGATGTTACAACTATAAGAGAAATGAGCAAATGTGTTTTGCAACTTTTCCATGTTTCCTTCTAATGGTGACTGTATATGATACCATGTATGTTTTTTGCTGGATTGTGATCCTAGCCATTGCAGTCTGTGGGTAAAAACTAAGGATTGCCTAGAGGTAAAATTCTAGAAATCTTTGCATAAAAAGGGAACCCTGATTCTTATGGAATGCATTTTTCTGTATCTGCTCCTGATATAGGCACTAGACAACTCAGGTGTCTACGTTGCTGTGTCATTTCTGTCTGGAACTTTATACAAAGTTCAGTTTGCAATTCAGTTCATGCTCCTTGGAAATTATTTTCTGAGACATCAGGAGACATCTTTAGAATCCACATTGTGGAATCCTAATTAGGGAAAAGGAGTCAGACTAGCGGGAGCAAAGAAAGCAAAGAGAGAAAATGTATAATTCTGCCTTTTTTCATAGTCCAGGACATGCAGCTTTCCTGTGTCCAACTTATCACCAAGACAACTGCAAGTTAGCTCACTGCAACCTCGGCATTATCAGTACTGCACAAAACCCTCTTCAGCAGATAGCATACCTCATAAATACTATTCTATAAATCCCCAGCAAGCCTTTGTTTCCTTGCAGTCAGTTCCTCTATTGCTGGCTGGCCACTGCTTTCTTGCACCGTATTTTCATGCTTTCTCTCTAATAAATCTGCCTTTCTTTACCTACAGCTGTCTTGGTAAATTCTCCCTAGCTCTCCTCCCGCTAGCAGCTCAGATAGTCGTTGCTCCTCTGTGACATATTGAAGGAAAGAGGTTGCAGAGTGTACTGTTAAGAGCTCATTCACTGAAGCCATACTGCTTGCCCGGGGTCAAATTCTGGCTCCATTGTTTATTAGCTAAATTACCTTGGGTAAGTCACTTTATCTCTGCCTTTGTAGACTCACATCTACAGGATAATAATAGTATTTACTTCATAGAGTTGTTGAGAATATTAAAGGGTTAGAGCAATGCCTAGCACATAATATGTACTAAAGAAGCACTTGCTCTAATTATTACTAATTTGCCCTTAAACTATATATATAAGAAAAAAGAAAAGAAAAAAATAGATAACGGTTCTTTGCTGTAGTCTGTTTTGTATGGACAAAATAAATACTCTCCCCTGCCTTCATGTACTTTTATCTTTACCCTACTCCAGAGAAGTCAGAATTCTTAAACTTATTGCCAATTGTTACAAAATATTACATAAGGGAAATTATAATTCTTTGTTTTTAGAAGTGGATCATCTAGTTCAACCCAAGAGAGAGCTAGTCTGAGCGATGAGCAGTGCACTCAGGTAAGTTCTTCTTCTTCTTCTT